TTCGCTAAGGGTATGTGAGTTGTTCGCCAATTTCTAAAGAATCAGGATAGCCGCCAATGATCTTCATCTCTTTATCCCGACTGTACATGGCATCTAGAATAGGTGGTTGGAACACTATCCTAACAGATTGTTTGTCCTGAATTCGAAATGCCAGCTTCTTGCTTCATGCTTAGATTTGCAAATCTCAACGCTGCACACGTGATGCTAGACCTTGGGAGTGACCGAATCGCCCCACGTTTTTTGCCTGCTTGATCACTCAAAGCTGCTTTCTTACGCTCATTAGGCATAGTCATGTGAGAGTAGTTTGTATGCAGTAGTTTGATTTCATGAAAATGAATTCTTCTGGATATTACATAGAATGGAGCTGCTCCTATTAAGTCAGACAAATTTCAAACGAACTAAAAACAGTAATCCCTATAATTGTGTTAAGCGACAAGAAGCATTCACTCCCTAATGAGGTGAGGCTAGGCTGAAGGCTGACTCGCAAATTTTATCTCTTATTTTAATTCAATTTTGTTGCCTTGATTACATCATTGTGGATCCATTGCGCAAAGTGTCGCTTTGGTTTTGGAGGGGTGCTCAGCTTATTACCCTTCCCTCACACTAGCTCTCTAGTGCTCTTAGCTTCTTATACACGCCCTCCCAAGCTGTAACAGGAAGGTCGAAATAGATCCACCAGTTTCCGGCCGCATCTTTGCCCATGACACTCCCTGCATTTCTTCCAGGCTATTATGGATGATCAGCACCGAAAAGCAACATATCCTGGTCGATCAACTTACCACGCCGTTCATTTGATGAGTCAGGTGAATATACGACGGTTTTCCCACCCCATTGCTCCTCCTATCATTGGGAAGACCTTGTCGAACAACAGCGGACGAAAAGTCGAGATCGAAGAAACCAAGGCTATTCCTGTAATGCAAGGTCTTAGTTGTGCCTAGGAAGAAGTTGAGGTTGATCAAAACTCACGATTGAGAGAGAACTAGCGGCAAAACATTCCACGACCCTGCTAGCGGCTGGCGGCCATAGGAGTCCATCAACGTCAACTGTGCTTTCACTTGTTCAGTGGTTCGCTGCTGTTGGATAGCTCGCCGTATACGAAGCGCAATACTGCCCAATGGTATTGTTGCGAGTTCATGGGCTGTCAGGAACGCAAAGGCGGTACTGACAGCATTCCCTATAAAAGTACCTCTTGGAAGTTCCTTTTCCAGAGTTTTTCTTAGGTTCAGCGCAGTCCCGATTGCGACAGGGCGAGAACCAGCCAGGTTTTGTGAAGACAGCACTGTGCGTGCCCACCAGGCTAACAGAACATCCCCATTAGTCACAAATACAGCATCTTCTCCCTTGCACTCTTTCCTCAAATCTGCGAGAGCTTCTCTCCTCATTTCCTGCAAGAATCGATCTGGGATTTGAAGGATTCGAGGCTCAGATTTCGGTTGCAATATAAGGTCAAAAATCATCCTAAGCACGAAGAAAAAAAGCCGAGAGCCAGCCAGCATTTGTGATCTCAGAACGTATCGCTCTCCAGAAACTTCTCCGATCAACGGACTCATAGGATCGTGATCGAAGCCAACGAACTCTGGAATCGCGAGGCCGTTCAGCTCAGCAAGCCATGCATTCATGAATGCCGCTCTTCCTATGCCGTCAAATACACAATGCGGCCAGCTTACAGAAAGAATAGTGGCATCTTGGAAGGACAGAATCTAGACAACAAACCATTTAGAATCAATGTAGGGATGATATGAACGATGCGATACCAAGCAGAAACGTACTTTGAACGATAATGGAGGACAATCGCTGTTGAGCCAATCTGCCAGTTTTCTTGGACGGCCTGAATGGTGCAAAAACGACTGCATAAGATGCGGATCCTCATGTATCTTTGGTGTGTGACTTGCTCTCGGAAGCCGTGAAGCCTTGGGATGTTCAGCTATGGTCTTCTCGAACTTTTCATGCAACCATAAGAAAGGGGGTCGTTTTTCATCATATTCACAAGGGAGGATGTATTCAAGCTTCTTTTGTTTCTGAAGACGATCAGCAAGATGCAACGGAGAAGAATGAATCCCACTTTGAGAACTTGCATTCTGGCGGATCCTGGCGCCGAGTTTCTTCCAACCGTCTCGCTGCATCAGACGGTGCAACGCCAACCGAAGTCGATCGACGTCGAGCACATCGTCAAAACGATAACTAGCCTCCATGACGACATGACGGTTGACATACCCATCGTCTAGCGCATGGAATGGGATAACTTGATCTGTTGATGCTCGGGCAGAGGATTCGCCCTTTGATTTCCTAAGTTTGTTGATTATTGTACTTGAGTATCTTGCTTTCGTTGTAGGTAAAGCGTTTGAGAAAGAGTAGAATGATTGGAAACCTTGTAACAGGAGTGGCCGTCTGACCCTGGTTACAATCATAGTAGCATTACACGCAAAGTAGTATACGCAAGAATCGAGATTGAAAGAAGTAAAGCATTTCGCTGTAGTAGTGAATGTGCAGTACGATTCGGGCCGGTTATGAGAGGCGCACGGCCACAATGTGACGCTAACACAAAGACTACGGACTCCGAAGTTGTTAGTCTATTTCCACACCGTGACGGTAGCATGAAGATTACGGACTCCGAAGGCGGTATTCTGCTTCTTTCTTGTATTATATTAATTAATATCCTTACGATTCAGGGCTCTGTGGTTATTGAAAAAAGATCGTACGAACACTGATATTGGGGTATTTGAAAATCCGAGAGTGTTATTCGAGTACGGTGATTCGACGGTGCTTATCACCTATGGACCTAACGATTCACCGGTAGTTTTGCAAACTCTAGCTCCTGCATTAGTCTGTGATGAGTTCACCTTTCATAAATGAATTGATACCATGGACTCGACACGGCAGAACACGACAACCCAGAAATCACAAATAGCTACGGCGTCAAAACTTCCCTACAACACCCTACAATTGATAAACAATTGCTTACTGAATGCGCCTCCCTGAATATAATGGCATTAGAATCATTCCTTGCCGCCTATCATCTACAACTTAGCCCAGGCATTGGCATCGCGATAGCTGTCATCATTCTATATTGCGTCCTATCCAGATCGGGACAGCAACCATTTCCAGACATACCCGTTGCCTCGCTCGAAAAAGGCCTCTGGAGATGTCTTCCACGACAATTGAAGCCCCCCGAATTTCTGCGCTATGGCAACTCTCTCATGCAGGAAGGGCGGCGCATGACGACGGGCTGCTTCCAAGTGCATTCGGGAGCAGGCTTCAAAATCGTCGTGCCTAATCGCTTCTCCCACGAACTGCGTAACCACCCTGCCCTCAGTCTTTCCAAGGGCCAGAAGAAAGAATTTCCCACGCAGTACGCGGGCTTTGAAGGCATGCGAGAGGGGCTGAGAGATGATCGATTGATGTTGGATGTCATCAATGCCAAACTCACGCCAAGTTTAGGTCTTTTGACCGGGCTTCTTGTGCATGAGACATCGCGTGCAGTCGAACATACGCTGGGAGAGAAGAGCGACTGGGAGGGCTTCGAAGTGAAGGATGTTGCGATTGACATCACCGCTCGCGTGTCGGGACATGTTTTTGTCGGAGAACAACTTGCTAGAAACGATAACTGGCTTGCGATATCGAAAGAGTATACGATACGAATATTTGGAAATGGTGTCGTGCTGAACTTTTTCCCACCCTTCCTTCGGGCGTTCATGTACCAGATCCTTCCGCCTTGTCGACAATTGCGAAAGCAGGTTCAGGACGCTCGGAAACTCCTGGAGCCAGAAGCTCAGAAGATAATAAATCAGCGCAAGAAGAGCAAGAATAAGGTGGAGAGGTCAACGGAGAATGCTGCGGGCAATTGCTTTGCCTGGATGCTGGACATAGCTAAAGGTAGGCCATTGGATTTTACCGGCGGACAACTTTTGCTTAGTCTCGCTGCGATGAACACGACAACCGAAGTAATAACTCGTTGCTTACTACAAATTTGCGACACACCGGAAATCTTACAGCCATTGCGCGGTGAGCTCATTGAGGTCTTGACAGGACATGGGTGGACGAGGTCGGCGCTGCAGAAGCTCAGACTAATGGATTCGTTTCTGCGAGAAGTGCTACGTGTCCACCCATTAGCTTCAGGTATGTATTTTTTTTTTAAAAAAAAAGGCCCATGCGATGGAGCATACAAGGAAGTTCTCTGCTAAATATTCTCCATAGCACCCATGACACGCTATGTCTCTAAACCCGTCATCCTCTCTGACGGAACCACTCTCCCGGCTGGAGGTCTCATCCTAATCTCCGATGACCACACCAGAGGCGCAAGCGCATTCTCTAATCCCGAAACTTTCGATCTTCACCGATTTTATCGCCAAGGTGAACAAATGGGCAAAGAAGGCGGGCTCCATTTTGTCACGACATCGGCGGAGCACCTCCAATTCGGTCATGGCCAACATGCGTGTCCAGGTACGTAGATGCAGGATTCACAACCTCCTACCTTTTTTTTTATTTTATTTTCCAACACAGGCATGGGCTCTAATTGATCATGTATAGGTCGATTCTTCGTCTCGGACCAGCTAAAGGTTTTGATAGCCTTCTATATTCTCAAGTATGATTTCCGCTATGAGCCAGGAACCAGTCGACTACCTGTGATTGAATACGAGCAGCATTTCATTGCCAATCCAGCGAATAAAATTCAAGCGAAGATAAGGCGAGAGGAATTGGACTTGCTAAGCCCAAAGGTTTTGTGAATATTTGCCTGGTAATATCTTAGTGCTGCATAGAGTCTGTATTCTTCACTGGTCGAACCATGTAATGATCTTAGCAAATGCACGATGGGTAGTATGTTTGGGATTGGATGTACGTGTTTTCGAAACTGAGCAACAGCAATTAAACTCCACTGAGAATGATTTGGATCAGTTGATGACTAAATTTGTGTTCTCGGCATGTGTGGTTAGAAAGGCAAACAGATAGTAAATATAGGACATTGATTATTCCGTCAAATTTGTTCATTGTTTTCTTCGTCTCTATGTAGTAGACTCGGTACTAGAGCTGTCATCACTATCCGAGTCTGTGTCGTCGTCATCGGTATTCGAGTCTTGGTTAGCGGCGTCGGGCTTAGCATCTGGGTCGTCTTCAAACTCCTGGCCCATGGTATTCCATTCATGATGTGGGTGCAGCACATGTCTGTTGGCGTAGCACTTGTAGCAAAAATCGAAATCATAGCAATCTTTGCACTTGTAGCGGAAGCCACTGACCTTCTGTGACTAGGCATGAGTATCTTTGTGGAAAGACAAAAATGAAGTTGGCCGGGTGGGAAGCAAATGAGGGAAAAAGAAGAATCAAGATTGGACTTACGTATAGACAACCATCACAGTAACAAAACGGCCATATATCATAGGCTTTTCTTGACTGGTGGGATATTTGATGCCATGCCATGCTGTCGTCGTTGACATTGTTGTGGGATGTCAACAGGTGCAAGGTCTCTTGCTTGGCACCATGATAGTTGGCCAGCTTGAGGGGCGACGACTGCTTGCCATCAGGCCCAAGGGTGAGGGCGCAGATGTTTGCGCCCTGGTCGATGAGGAAGGCGACAAATTCATGCTTGCGTTGTTCGCGCATGGCCTGATCGGTGAGGTCAGAGAAGCGGTGGTAGGTGCCCCTGGCGGCGTAGTGCAGGGGAGTCCACCCGTCGGTATCGGGTTCATGGAGCAGGCCGTCGGTAGCCTGCAGCACACATTGGAGCAGATCCAAGTTGCCACTGACGACGGCGAAATGCACCAGGGTGCGACCGGCGTTGTCACGTGCGTAGAGATTGGCGTTGGCATCACGCAGGGCGGCAAAGTTGGCGGTAGTGGGACCAACAGCGGCGAGATGAATGGGGTAGCGGCCGGCCTGGTCACGCGTGTCCGTGGTTGCGCCGAGACGGAGCAGGAACTGCACGACTGGGGCAGTAGCGTAGTAGCTAGCGGCGGCAAGGGCCGACCCGTAGAGCCCGCCGATGGCGTTGACATCTACCGTAGTAGTGGTCGTGGTCGTGGTCGTGGTGTCGGAAACGAGGCATTGCAGGACGTCAAGAATAGTAGGCTCTGCCTCATCGCGATGCACACTGGCTGCCAAGGAGCGGCGACAGGCGGCCTGGGCGGGTGAGCCATAGTAGGAGGCGACGAGGTTGACATTGGCGCCAGCGTCGAGCAAGAGGCGGACTTGGGCGGGAGAGCCCTTGGAGCAGGCCAGATGCAGCGGGGCGTCGGTGCTGCGGGCGACGAGGTTGACATTGGCGCCGCGCTTGAGCAGGAAGCGGGCAATGTCGAGCTTGTCCTTGTCAATGGCCTTGTGCAGTGGCGTCCAGCCGGCCGAGTTTGTGGTGTTGACGTTGCTGCCGGCATGGACGAGCAGCTTCACATCGGCCAGCTGGACGGTGGCGCGTTCCACAAGGGCGTTGAGGGCGGTGTCGTTGTCGCGGTCGGCCAGGCCCAGGTCGGGCTGGAACTCGAGCACCATGCGCAGCAGCTGGGTCGTGTAGATGTACAGGAATGGATGGATGCCGCTTGCCGGCTTGATGGTTGGGTCGGCGCCGTGCTCGAGCAGCACGCGGGCCGTATCGCCATGGCCGGCCTTGAGAGCAGCGAGCAGCGGCGTGAAGCCGGCCAGCATGTCGGCTTCGGCATCGACGTCGGCAGGCCGATAGGGCAGATTGATGTCGGCATGGTGCTCGGCCAGGGCCGCCACCACGTCCGTCTGGCCCCATTCGGCCGCGAGGAACAGCGGCGACCGCCCGCCCTCACCCACGACTTCATCCACCGACGCGCCTTGGTCCAGCAACAGCCGCGTCACGGCGCCGCTCTGGTACGCGGCATGCAGCGGCGTCCACACACCGTGGCACACTTCATTCACCACAGCGCCTTTGTCGAGCAGCAGCCGCGCCATGTCGGCGTCATCTGCCAGGCACGCCCCAAACAGCGGCGAGCTCTCGCTGGTACGCAGGTTGACGTCGGCGCCCTGGCCCAACAGCCACTCCACCATGGCCCGCCCCTCGGCCTGTCCCACGCCCACGGCCGTCTGCAGAGCCGTCGCCGTCTGCTTGTCGTGCTGCTTGTTCACATCCGCCCCGTGCTCCACCAGCAGCTGCATAATGTCCAGACGTTTGGCTTTGACCGCCACATTCAGCGCCGTGCCGCCCGTGCATTCGTGGTTGGCGTCGCTCTTGAACAACAGCAGCTCTTTCACGCACCGCCACGCCCCTTCTTGGATAGCCATGTGTAGCGGCGGCCATGTTTCCGCCTCGCGTCTCGTTTCCGTCTGCGCCCCGTGATCGAGGAGCACGCGTACCGTGGCGTGCGCTCCTATGCTACACGCACTGCTGATGGCTATCCCGTCGTCAGCGTTGACCTCGGCCCCCTTCTCCAGCAGCAGTTTGACCATGTCGGCATTTCCCCTCTGTGCCGCCACGTTCAGTACCGAATTGTTATCCACGTCGCGCGCCTTCACCAGGCTTGCATCGTGCATGGCCACCAGCTTGAACACCTCGACGTGGCCGTTGCGTGCTGCTAAATACAGAGAGCATTGCCCAAACGCCGCTCCCTCGCTGCCACTGATGTCGGCACCTTCGTCCAACAAGGCCTGCACAACCTTGGCATGGCCATTCCATGCCGCTCGTCGCACCACAAAGGCCGGCCATGTGAATGATGGCACTATCATCTTGCCAATCTGCGACACGACTTTCACAAGCACTTCCTCGTCTCCCCCGGAGCAAGCTGCTTCGAGCACGTACTCGGCCGTTGCCCTGTCCAGCTCCACCACCGACCCTAACAAGTGAAGTGCCAAACCGCCATGTTTGTTCCTTGCCGCCTCAGCCACAGCGTACGGAAGCCACAGCTTTTGCTCGGCTGCCGACATGTTGCTGTCTTGTATCCATCGCTCATATACATCCTCAAGGCCCATGGAAGCCACGAGCGGTAGTGGGCAAAGATAGGTGCGATCCACCCGAGAAAACGGATTCGACATGAACCAATGTACCATCTGCCAACTCCGGGAAGCTGCTTTGCTCTTGAAAAACTCAATCACCTGCCCTATCAAACGACTCTTGTTGGATGCAAGACAGTAATGCCGATCCCAATAGCACACAGCGTAAGTGGCTATGTCAACCCGGGGTCTGGCACATGGTGTTGACAGAATGCCATGCCGAACCTCGCACAGTGTGTTCAAAGTATCACAGGCACCGGTGGTACCAAGGAACCCAAGGCAGTCTTCTGCCATCATTTCGTGTGCAGTCGCTTGGACATGATACCACTCCTCCTTATCACACTGAAGAATCAGATTCTTTAGCTCTGCATGTTGCAAGCGGATCTCCTGCGTATTGGAGAAATCAAAGATTGGGATGCCAATCAGCGCATCCATTGCCCACATACCATCTGCATCTTGAGTCTGTTCGGACATGTCAAGTACTGAGCACAGTTCGCCAATACTAAGAGGCCGAAAGGCAAACACGAGCCAGGTAATGGCCCTGAATACCAAACTGCGCTTGGCTTCTGGTATGGCGTCCATGGTCTTCCGGAATAGAATCTCCAAACTCACTTCCGGAAGCCCTTGCAGGGCATTTGTGAGAGCTTCCAAAGATGGACTGTTCTGGATATCATGAAGGAGTAGCCTCGTCAGACCAACATCATTACCGCCTTTCCTCAAAAGATCGTCTCGGTATCTACCGATTGGTAGTGTTGATGTGTATCTGGCATCGAGCTGATGCAACGTGTAGTCAATCTCATCCCTAGCACAGGGATCGACATCTTCCAGTGAGAATTCATCCTCGAGTACAATTGTCGGCGAGCCCTTCAGCCACTCATCGAGCGAGTCCATCGACTTGGTCATGATCAGAAATTTCCATCGCTTCTCCCGTGACTCGGACATTTCGGCTGCCAAACGCCAGAACGAGGAAAGCTTGTCCGAGCATTCGTCTACATTGTCAAGCACAAATACCGTTTCTCCACTGCTGTAGAAGTATCGAATCCTGCTCAATAAGACAAGCAAGTCGTTTTCGCTAAGAGTGCGCTGGGCCAGAAAGCGAGACATGTCACTTTGGAAGTCAAAGTCAGATTTGAGAACCGTGTCGAGCCTTACCCACTGTGCAGCAGTGGTCAAAAGGAATGCTCTTGTATCCTTGTAGCGATCATCGCTCTCATCAAATGAGAAGTAGGTCCAAATTCTTTCATCCCTAGAATGCAGCATCATCTCGTCGAAGAGGAATCCAGAAACCCATGGCCTCAGGCTTTGTCCATGGATAATCAAAACATTGGAACTGATACCCTCCCGCCAGCTGATGTATTCTTGGTTGTTGGCCAGAGGGTTTCTCTGATACTGGTTAACAAGGATTGGTCGGACTGGAGGCGCCTGTGCCACGAGGGCATTCATATACGAAGCCTCTTCTGCTCGCTTCACCTCGTCCTGATCTGACCAGTGTTAGTTCAACCACCAGGATAATTCCCCCGCAAAGCCATTTTGATGAAGCTTACATAGCTTAGAATGGTATTGAAATATTTCAAAACTTTGTTTCAATTTCAAAATTTGCTCTGCGCAGGCTAAAGCCGCATGGGGCTGGGGAAATTCGCGACCAAATGCAAACCCAGTCCGGAACGTCGCATCGAATTCAGTGAAAATCTGGAAAATGCAAAGAGTCAGATCAAGACCGTTCGATCATGCCGTGTGTCCAGTATCTTACGCATTGCTTGAGGTCCGTGAGGGTAGACAGAATGCTGTGCATCTTTGCGCTAAGAAGAACCTTGGATTCTAGGAAAGCCAGATTGCATTCAATGACGGCCCTTGCTAGGCTTTTGACATGAAGCAGCGGATTTTCCTCGGGTAACTTTGAACCCGAGTACAAAAGCCGTGCAATCTTCTCTTCCATGTCCAAGACACTACGCCATCTGTGTGGGCAGCCGATGAATATCTAAGTCGCGGTAGTTAGCCAAGGACCATAAAATTTACTCGCCACAAAGGGTTGAATACAATCCATTTGGTGGACTCTGCGATGTCGGCATATTCTGGGTCCATGACGGATTGATACAAAGCCTAGAAACAGTCATTTGGCTGACACTTTCGTGCAAAGGGCCTTTGTTACTTGTTTGACAATCGTGCCTCCGATATCGTGGCACATGAAGACTATCGGGCGGAATGAATCCTACAAGCAGATTATCAATAAGTGCGCACCTGCATCGCTCGCCCTCCCCCCTTCCCAAAAAAGGTATATACCTTGTCTCTTCCATGCCTTGCCTCTACAACGGCACGCAGCAGCTTTGATGCTTCTTTAGTTATACCCTCTTTCGAGAGCGTCTTAAAAGCATCGTAACCATAGTTCATCAAACGGAAGCCCAGATCGTACTTCCATTCCTCCAGTCCACGGACTGTCTCTCGTTTCGATTCATCCCACGCTTGCCAAGTTGTCTCGCGGTGGCCATGGAGACCGTGGATGGTGACAACGCTTGCTGGGTCAGAACATGTATATGCGCCCATCATGCACCAGCCTCGCAAGATTGACCTACTCGAAATCGTGCAGAAACATGCTGTCGTCCTTGCCCTGAAGCCCATAGTCGCCGCTGCTTCCCTCCACCTCTGCGACAACCGGGTCGATCACATCTGCAACACTGCTCCGCCGCCCGTTGGCATCGGTGCCTGGCGCGGGCTCAACATCTTCAGCAGGAGTCGTGTCGCGCTCGTCGCTTGTTGATGATGATGATGATGTTTCTGAAGAATGGTTATTATCGTCTGATGCTATGCCGGTCATTTTCTTCCCGATCCAAATTCCGCACGCAGAATGGGAGTCGGTCCAACAGGCGTGATTGTGCTGGAAAGGGCAACAGCGATGCGTGAAGCGAGGGGCTGATGTGCGCCTCCAGGCTCAGCTTCTGTCACTTGGTAGCGGTCATGCTTGCAGCGTGCAGCACACGGGCGGAGCCTTGTCTACATCCAGTTATGCCCAGGCGGGGGTCGTTGGGGGCGGAAACTCGTCAGCGTGTGATGCCTGTTCAGGATACACATGACAGCACCCACACTCCTGGGAAACCGAAATAACTGGTCCTTCAAGAGCCACAGCACTCTTCAGTACTTCGAATTCGACCAACGGATAATACCCGTGCCCTTCGGATTGCGCTGCGGGTAGGTACTTTGTAGGCAATAACCTTGGACTCGTGATCAATAGAGAAGGTGGTCATGTAAGCGATCAATAATCCAACATTTACGCCCACTTTGGATACGTAAAGAGGGCATGGAGTCATTATCTAGTGGGTGGTGGCTTTGTAGTGTAGCGGTTATTACTCTGCACCTGCCGGCATCTCTCAACTTAGTTACTGCTGACACCGCAAGCCGTGTGGCTGCTGACACAGCCGTCAACGCACCCCGCTTTCAATACGATGCATACTCGATACATCGATTCAAGATCTCTGGCCTGCTTTCGATTGGACAAAGCTTGAATGTTTGGCCCCGAATTTCCACGGGGATCATTACATCATATAAGTGGTATATAGGAGTAGCTGCGGCTATTCGTATTCAATGTAGTTATCCCAGTGCTGTTAATAGTTAACCAGATAAAAATCATGTCACATATGCTTATAGTCGAAACTATAACATAAATGTGCATGATCGTCATTGAAACAAGATACCCAAACCCTCCTACTACTTGATGAACAGGACTGAGAAAACATCGTTTGATATAGCCAACATATCTATGCAACCTTTGAAAACTTCGGCAAAGTCATACCTGGCATTTATGTCGCATCTGTGCATAAAAATATCCTAAATATGCTTTACTGCAGAGTCCAGCACGGTTTGGAAAGTTATGCCTGCGAGACTGCCTAGGTCCACAGATCCAAGTGCGGTGAGATCGTACGTCTGCAATTTGTTGGTGGGAGGCAGCTGTGGATCGAAGAGCAGAAGATCATCTTTGGGTCGTCCTCCAAACATCTTTTGAAAGCTTCTCTCCATAGAACTTTTAGCATCAACCTTGGCTTCTATCTTGAAATCGCAGCGAAACGGTTTCTCGTCCTGCCTTTTTAACAGGATTGCCGTACGCATCGTTGACGGTACGCCGGTCTTGGTAGTACTATTCTCGATAAGTGACCAAGATGCGCTGTCCGCGTTCCCATACGTCCTTCCCAAAAGATCAATCGAGCCAATCACTCTTGTCGCATCCGTGGTTTCTCGGGTGACACTGCGTTCCCAGCCCAATTCCGCCCCCAACTCCACACCAACAAGCGGAGGTGCCCCCACGCTGACGCCCGCCATGGTTGTCTTTCCTTCTGTCTGTGTCGTCTGAACCATAACCATATTATCGTAGGGTGCGATCTGGAACACTTCGGGCTCAGGGTCACCGGCCTTCTCAGGTGCAAACTGGAGAGTGATGTTCACAGCCAAAATGCGTCTTGCTGTCTTGCGGCTGTCGAACCTGAAGTTGAGAACAATGAGTGTCGCAAATTCGTCGGCGTCGGGGCTCACGAGGCCGTGAATCACGTCCAGACAGGTGCAGCGGATGTCCAGTGCTCCTTTACGCTCGGTAACATTAGTACGTTGGTAAGGCGCCGATGGATCGTTTCTGGTGCGAAATGAGCTGCCTTCGTCGCCGCCAGGATTCAGCATGATGTCAAAAACGTCGTAGTCGTCATCCTCGTACTTCTCTTCTGTTTGTACGGGTTCGCTGTTGGAAACTTCTGCCATAGTCGCGTCAAGATGCTTATGAAGGCCAAGACTCCCTTGGGAAGGAATAAAATTGTTTTTCCAGGTGTACCCATATGTTGTAATATAACCGTATTAACATAGGAAGCTGCGCTGTGTTGGGGGCCATTTCCAAGTCATGAGGCCTGTCACACCAGCCATGCCCCCTTTCGAGCATTGCCCCGCCGCTAAAGCGTAGTAAGCACAATTTTGGCAGTCGTTTCGCCTGCAGCCTGCTAGAGCCAAGCTGTGCATGCGCCCATTTCCCAACCTATTCTATCTGCTTGCTGGTAGGGCAACAAAACTTTGTTGATCCCAGGCTGTATTCTGCCCTTCATGGAAAGCACACGCCTACAAGACCCTGACGAATGGAAGATAGCGAAGAAACATGATATTGATAAGGCTGCCGAAAGCGAGACTGACAACGAGGGGTACTCCAGTGAGTCGGGAAGCGAGGATGAAGAAGAGCATGAACAAAACATCAAACTCCAATTCGAGCGCATCATCGCTGGCTTTAGGGAGGGCAGGCTGAACATCGAAGCCATCACCAGCAAGCCAGACGAATACAACTACCTTGACCAAAGGACAAACGATCACAATCCGAGGAACCTCTTGCATATGATTGTAGAGGCAGGAAAAGACAGCGCGAGTGCGCTGAAGCCGCTCGTGGAACATGTGATTAAGCAGCATTGTCACCTCATGGAAGAAACGGACGGTGCTGGCACCACGCCGTTGCAGGCGGCCATCATAGGCGGCATCACCAAACTCGTGGAGTACATGTGCGATGCCTACAACGCTGAGGGGAATATTGATGTCGTTCTGGCGCTGCAGGACTCAAAGAATAACAATTGTCTTCACAAAGCCATGCTCAGCAAGCATAAATACGCGCGCAGAATTGCCCTCAAGCTCATCAAACGAGTTCGCGATTCTAAGACGCTGGAAGCCCAGAACAACGAGTTCAAAACCCCGCTTCACATTGCCGTCGAGTGGGAACGCTGCACAGAATCGCAAATGGAAGTCGTGCGCGCACTAGTAAACGCTTGCGACGCTGCTCTGAACGTCAACGTGGGCGCCGACGTCGATCCGTGTCGGCTCTCGGTGTATCGATACCACGAGAAGACAAGACAAGCAGCAAAGAAAGCTGAAGCTGGGACCAAAGACACAAAAGAAGAACGCAGCGGCAACAAGACGAGCGACAAGACAGCAACCAGCAGCCGAAACACGAAAGAAAGTTATAAAAGTGTACCGGGAGGGCAGCAGATGCCAAAAGTTCCAGATCAGGTCCGTCCAGTCCCGACGTACGAGCTTAGTCGCTCCAAGGAGCACCCACAGGGCAGACATAGGGACCCAGCGCTTGAGCACCAGGATCTTCCAATGCGAGGAATTCAACGCCAGCCTACACGACTTGACACGGCCATCCCAAAAGTTGCCCATCTGGATGAAACTAAGCCAGGTGGGAAAGTATCTGTGTCGATGTCGCCTGCTCTGGCCAAGGCGCCGGCCCCTGGCACTAACAAGACACCGAAGCATAAGGAAGTGGTCACAGAGGTGACGGCAAATGCAATTCGAGACTTTTTGAAGCTGTATTATATGGGAACCCAAGAAGATCACGAAAGTATTGTTTCATTTCTCTATGGACCAGTCCAAGGTAAGTCCATTAGCAGAGGCGAGCATTCGATTAGACTAAAGACGCAACAGAAAAGGAATTATACTGGTCATTGGCTGATGGACCCCCCCTGGTTTCATTGCAGAGGCTGCAAAAGATGAATTACGTCATCTTTGAAGATACCCTCAAATATGTGTTGCTTCCGAATATCCGAGTAGATAAACCTGCAGCTGCGGTTTCCAAGTTTCTCTCAAGGTCTACTGCCAAGGATACAGGCAAAGGTCGGGATGACTACACGGTAATTTTTGACTGGCTTCGTAGCAAGGGCGTAAAGCGAATATTCAATCTGTACATTGACGATAGTGAGGAGCCGTCTCACAGTGATGAGACCATTGAAAGAGCTCTCCAAGGAATTGAAGTGCTCAAGGTTTGGGATTGGCAGAGAACCGATCTCAGCTCCGAGGTCATAGTGAAAGCTGCCCCGAGTGTCAGTCAAGTCAACCTCTACTGGGGCGGAAACAATGCTGTCCTGCGCAGCTGGAGTGAGTCAGAGGGCCTCAACCAACTCAAAAAGCTTGACACAGTTGTGCTTTATGCGACTCAGGTGCGCATTTTCCGAGATTACAAAGGCTTAAACGTTGACTAGTATGCAGGGTTTGGAGACACGAGCGAGAGAGAAACGAAACTTGGATGCATTTTGCGCAAGACTGAAACATAACAGAAGCCTGCTCATCGAAAGCGTAGAATGCAAACAATCCAAAGATTCTAAGAATCAAGAACCACTCCCACCCACAATCAAAGTCCAGCGAGATGCATTGCCTTTGAAGAAGACGGAATTGGGAGAGGGACTGACAGCCGCACAGGAGCAACATAAGGATCAACACAAGTGGCTGACATGCATGGATGATTTCGCAACCTTTATTCAGAACGTCGATCTGGATACTTCGCGCTTGAATGGCGTCGAGCCAAGGCCAGTCATGGTAGCTCTCATCGACGATGGATTGGATATCAACGAACAATCTGTAGTTGACAAAGTGATTGGAGGCCGCAGCTTTCGCAACCAGAACAATCTCAACGCGCCATACTGGGCAACTAGTGGCTTTCATGGTACCGTTATGGCGAGCTTGATCTGCAGAGTTTGCCCCAAGGTCCAGCTTTACGTTCTTCGCCTCGATGAGTATAAGGCCAAAGAGCAAGGGAAAAGGCAAATCACGGCTAAGAGCGCAGAGAAGGTATGTTCAACGCCCGTAAGAGTATTCCATTGCATCGATTAACTAGTTCCCTTTCCAAAGGCCGTGCGTGCAGCTATCGACCGAGGCGTAGACATCATCTCTATGTCGTGGACAATTGAGAAGACGGTTGACAATGAGGCCGACATCAAGAAGCTTGAACTTGCTCTGGACGAAGCAGCTAAGAAAAACATTCTCCTCTTCTGCTCCGCCAATGACCAGGCTACCGACGCCGATGGGAGTCATCCAGCTGCCAACCCAACACGCTTCAAGATCGGTGCCGCGACAGCATGGGGCACCGCCTGGCGCTGGACTCGGGCCTCGCATGTCGACTTCATCTTCCCTGGCGACCGGGTCATCAAAGACCGGCCTGGCAATGTGCCATTTGAGAAATGCAGCCTAGTTAGCGGCTCGAGCGTCGCGACGGCGTTGGCGGCAGGTTTGGCTGCTCTGGTACTATATTGCGTGCAGTTTTCGGCCTATCATCGCTATGCGATGAATCAGCACGGCAAGGGCGTCACGTTGGATGATTTTCTAGCTATGAAAACGCGTGATCGCATGGCGGAAGCATTTCATGCAATCTACACCACCAAGGACAGCGATCATAAGTACATTGAAGTTTGGAATACTTTCGAGACGGCACCAAGAGAAGGAGAGGGTAAGGACAAGGATGCTAAACGCGAGATTATCGTGACCGTGGCGAACAAGCTGATTTCCAGGAGGAAGCTAGTGTTTAGTTCTTAACAGTTACTCTGGTGTCCGTCTTCAAACATTCAGTTGTGTGAAAAAGATTCTGTGATTTATTAGAACGACCAAATACATATGATGATCAAAACAGCAATGACACGCAGCTGTACTGAGCGCCGCGAATCGACACCGCCACGTAGCTCTAAGGCCAGGAATATGTCTGGGACGCAATTCTTATCCTAGGTTGCGCGATAGATACTCATTGGAGCTAGCCGGATCTAGGGTTCTGAGGAATGCCTGCCCACAGCTGGACGCCACGATTTGTAGGCACGTCAGCTTGAGCTGATGCCCAATCTACTGCCTGGGAGGTGCTTAAAGCGATACTTCTCCCAGCCCTTTCAACCTTCCCCGTCCATGGCCCATATTACATGGAAGCCTGACCGTTTATTGTGCCGAGGGCAAGAGAAACGAGGAATTGGATCAGGAATTAACTTATCAACAACACTCAAAACCGTGACAGCTTCAGCACCGACTATGTTCAATATCAAGACATTCGATAATTCTGAGTTGAAAGACTTGATTTCCAATGTTAAACTGACTTTGACTAGCACTGTTAGTTTTGATAAGCTGAGTGAGCTTATGTGAGCGGAGACATGATCCATGTGCGAAACAGATTAAATTTCCCGTCTAAAGTACGAACTCTCTTTTACCGAGTCGTATATAAATATCAACTACTCTACTTGATTATAACTGTATTCAAATCGTCTTCTTTACTTATTACTCTTATATCGTCATCTAAAATGTTTATATTTCCTATCGCCACTGTACTTCTCCTCGTGACACAAGTTGCTGGATTGGATGGTTGTAAAGATATTCAGACTTGTACTGGCGATGTACGCAACTAGACTCATACAAACTTTGCCTTTTACTGATTGGTATTGCTAGGGATGTAACCAGCCTGGTGCAGTGACGGATAAGTGCAACGTTTCTAACACTTGGTGCGCAGCCGCTGCACGCGATGCCTCCCTATCCCATTGCGTAGACGGCTCCTGTCAATCCGACGGATCCAAAAATATCTGTTACGTTTTTTGCTGTCCCCACGGCTAGAGCTGCTAGAGAAGAAAGGAATATTGAATAAACATGATATACTGCTAGTTTTGATCATATCCGCGTGACCATTCTTCTCTAATTAGAGCTCTCTTCTCTTAATCCTGTTAGTAGAGTTAGGGTAGTGCTCTAATCTTCTCTATTCTAGGTTTTTCTGTTTGTTCAGGTTTAACGTCCTATCTAAAATCCTCCCATGGGGCATGCGGACGGATGGGGCCCGGGGTTTATGGTGTTGTCACACCACCCAATCCCATCTATTCGCGGGAGTGTCTTCCAAAGCACAGTGTTCTTGCGTCTTCTGGTCCGCCAATTGACCAGTCGCCGCTGTCCTTTCCGCCGCTGGACAGAATCTCTATTCTAAGTGATAAGGTGGGCTGTCTTATATAGTGAGTGTCAGTGAGTTATGGCAGATGCCTGCTAGACTTCCTATGTGCTGTTGCCTTCTAGGACCTACAACCTTCAGGCCCGAGCTCTAGGCACCCAGTTGTTTCTGTTTGATATAAGGCGAGACAGTGGCAAGGCTCGACTAAGCCACGACACCGGCACTCTCACCAGCTTTTCTTGCGTTGATCAGAAATATGCAGTAGGGCTACACCTCCTGTCTAGCCTTGCACTCTTTCACAGTCGAAGTGTCTGGACACTTCGCATGCGAAGAGACAGCATAACCGTCCAGCGAAAGCCCGTTGTCGCTGTACGTGCTTGCGAGGCCGCCATACCTACAACCACGGGTGAACACCCATCAGCAAGCCAAACTCCATAGAACCCCGATGCAGGCGCAAGCCGCGCTACACTTATAAAAACCCGGCAGACGAGCCCCGCGCCCAGCACTTGTCCGTAATGTACTGCATATTGGTGGCTATCTGGTCGTGGCTGATGTGCGTGTTCTGCGTGCCGTACCAGTTGAAGATGCAGTACTTTGCGGCGGATGCACTATCACGCCTATGGAGGAAAATGCGGGGTATCCGTACACATAATCACGTAACAGTAAGCTTATTCCATTATCTCTAACTATCATCAACTAAGATTTTGGAATATCCAGCTGAGGATCAACAAGTTTAGCGAATCGCATGGCGACGTATATCTGTGCTACTACTGATCAACTACTATCAGCCATCTTTGTGTAAGGAATTAGATTTCTTATTTCGAATATTACTAATAGCAAATGATTTTTGAGATAATCATTAATTCACTAACGTTGTTCTTAACTATAGTGCCAAAAGATTTTGGTTTTACTATATCATTATCAATACTTGATCTAAAATGTTCTATAACGTATACATAAAAGGCTTCCTCACATTCCCGATACCGTGTGGTCAATTGATTAGTGCTAACTAATTCAACTCGCATAGAATTGAATCTTGCCGCTTTTACAATGTAATTCGTGACGAATTACTCTATCGAGTAACCGCGTGACCAAATGATACCGTACATGTTTCGCCATACAGGTTACATAGAGTCGTTAAGGACAGATTACCTATCAGGAACAGCACGTAGAATAAAAATGGATCTTAGTACGCGCTTATCTATTACAAGAAATTTACTAACTTCTATAGTACTAGAAACCCTTTCGTCAACCGGTAAATATGGCCAGAATTTCACGGCAGATGAAAACATTATCCTTTATTAAATACTTTACCGCGTGTGGTTTCCGTTGTTCGTGCATCTTTTCCCGAAAGTTAATGTCCATTTCCAACATGGCATCCGCAGACCAACTTATCGGAGCCCTAGAGGGCCTCGACGCGAATTCCTTCGTTAACGAAGCAGAGCGCGTCCGTGCTATGGAGGCGCTGACCCTGGCCTTAAGCAAAGTGCATAAGCCGTGGGACATTGTTTGGCAACACTGTTGGGTCAACCCAGCCACCAATGCATGCATCAAGACGTTGATTGATGCGGGTGTCTTCAGTAAATGGATCAAGACAGGAGGCGGGGAGAAGACTTGCACGGAACTGGCCGAATTAACAGGTGTCGATGTAGTGCTGATCCGTATGTTACATCTCTACTCTGCTTAACGCATGGCGAGCATTCTGACGACAATGCAGGACGCATGATTCGGCAAATTTCTGGACAGAATCTTGTCATCGAGACCGCCGAGGACAGCTATAAGCCTACACCGTGGGTATGCGCTCTCGTTGAGGATCAGGCCCTCGCCAACGTCTATGGTGAATTTTATGGCTTCGTAAATTCTCCCATGTTCAGGACTTTACCAGCCTATCTCAAGAAGACGGGATATAAGGTCCCTAATAACCCCAACGACTGCAACTGGCAGTTCATGAGAGGCTCAGATGAAAATCTGTTCCAATCTCTTAGCGCGAACCCTATTGCCGCAAGAGAATTCAATGATGCCATGGAGAGCCACTCCAAGCATAACCTAACGCCCTGGGTTGAGATTTACCCAACTGAGACACTTGTGAAAGATTCCAAGTCTGACCGGCCCCTAGTCGTTGATGTCGGTGGCAGTAAGGGCCACGACCTCACCAAATTCCATCTGCGACACCCTGACATCCCGGAGGGCAGTCTAGTGCTCCAAGACCTGCCCAATATTCTCAAGGAGTTGACTATTGACGACACCATCTCCATCCACCCTCATGACTTTTTTGAACCACAGCCCGTGAAAGGTGCCCGTGTCTACTTTATGCACAACGTGCTGCACGACTGGGAAGACACACAGGCGAAGCAGATCCTTTCTCACCTTGCGGAAGCTATGGAACCCGGATACTCGAAGCTTCTCATTCACGAAAGTTTGGTTAGCTCTGCGAAGCCGCTCGCTCGTGTGACAACGTCCGATATCACGATGATGGCTTGCCTTGGTGCGAAGGAGAGGACGGAGGCTGAGTGGCAGGCGCTGGTGGAGAGTGCGGGATTAAAGGTACTCAACATCTGGAGGCCAACCCACTCTGTAGAAAGCGTTATTGAGGCAGAGCTAGCTTGAAGTTAAGAAACCTCGGTTGTGTGACCCAAATAGCTATTGCTTTATCTGCACTCGATATAATTGCCGCAGCGTAGCTAATAAAATCCAACAGTTGATATTGTTTTATAAATGCAATGCTACAATAAACGCATTTTTTGTACAGGGAGTAATGCTCTCATCAATGCAACATCATCCATCGCTCTCTATCAAGATGCTATTCGAAGCAAGATAAGACAACTGAGATTTTGTTGTCCAAGCCCAGCCTAGGCAGTTTTGCTGACATCAAGAGGAAAGTTTGTACGGCTAACAAGCTTTCCCCATTCCAGGGTGATGAACCCACGTAGATCAGGATCTCTCAAAATTCTACAATCTGTCTTATGGGTCCTCTCAACCCACCCAGTCTTTTGGCAGGCTTAGCAAGAAGATGTCAGGCTTTTCTTAATGTTCTCGGGAGATGGTGGTCTTACATAGTCGCAGTACCAAAACAAAGAGCATTTTCCACATCGATTCATTAATATGGTCTTCTTGTCGCACCCATGGCACATTTTGATCTGGTTCATGGCACCTGAGCACTGTTGAATCCGGTCACTTAGTTCCAACAACTTATCCAACGCTATTGGAAAGATCTTTGTGATGTTCGATCACGTCAGTGTACGTGAAAGAGTATTGGGTATGGGGATGAGTTTTGTATACCTTCAGCATTTGTGGGTCTTGGGGTTTGATGCCGGTGTCTCCGTATGTAAACGTGTGGCGTTCCGCATACAGAACTGCGACGGTACACCCGTTTTGAACACTCGCTATATCAAGTTCACTGCCTCGACCAATCGTATTGAAGTGTAGAGATATTCTTTTGTCGTTGATGTCCGCAAGCTCCAGCTCTAAATGATGGAGCGTGATGGAATTGGTAATTTCTCCTAGGAAGCACCAATGACGCATGGGTTGATAGGGGTCTTTAGTGTCTCGATGAAGCCCTGGAGAATTTAGGAAAAAATGTTTAATTGCGAAGACTTGTCAATTGTCCCGATTGGTGTATCTCTTTTGGTTTATCTCTTCTCCAAAGCCAGTGCTCGAAGTCTGTAGAATGAAACTGCGAAGGAACATCTTCCAATGACTTCTTCCATTTCATTGATAAACCATAGAGCGAAAACGTAGCGGGGTTTCGTGCTAATGCCGCGTACTCGATCACCTCGCTGCTGTCGGGACCGGAAGCTATGCGCCATGCCTCTACTGCTCTTTCCGCAAATATTCGTCCTCTCGCAAGGTCACCATTGGCGATAGCGATCTGAGCAGCATCGAGATATGCCCTCGGTAAACCAGCATCATCTGGTCCTTGTCTATCATGAAGTTGGATGCGTTCGTCCACATAGCGAAGGACTCGTTCGGAAAATTTCATTGCCATGCATTCGCGGCCAACGGGGTCATCCAGGTATTGAATCCTCTTCAAGCGTTGATCATTTTCCTCGCTCTCCTCTGCTGGCAAGGAGCAAACACAGCATGCACACAAGAACCCAAGCTTGTCCTGCAGCTTTTGGCGGTGAACATCACGGATACCGTCGAGACCCAGGTAGTATATCGTAATATCCTCACTCTCGACGATGTCCCTTAAAGGATGCACAGTGTGCCGCCCAATACGTTTATTCCAATGCTTTTGTACATTATTATTGCAGCAATGGTTGATGCGACAGGCTTCGAGGAAGATTCCACCCGCAGTGCCGTTTTCCTCAATAGGAAGGGCGTTCGTTCGAATAATACTAAAAAACGGCTTAACGTCTTCTTAGTAGGGATACATATCGTGCAGGGAGAGGAATGATTGTCGTTCATATTCATCGAGGGACTCAACCTATCCAGATATATGTTTCTTTAGCCACTCCTCGCTCCTTTGTCCCTCTAGTGTTGTGACTACCGGACGTTCCGAAATGATTCGGGTACCTTTGGCGATATTCTTGGTTGCGACAAGCCCTTTACCCTTACCCTCGATGTCTTGTAGGATATAAATAGAGCCGTACTTCATGCGTTAACGTACTCTCGATTGGCAGCGAGCGGAAAATCCAAATTGGCGGTACACTGGATACGCGAAAGTGAAAATGCGTGTTTGGGCCAGCGACTAGCGGCCGAGCTCAGAAAGGCTTAAAGAAGAAAGCATAATATGTCAGCTAGTGTATGCTTGGTTAGCTGGGGAAGTTTAGTATACTACAATCACTGGGCGCAGGTTGACTTTAATCGTTTCATTACACAACAGCGGCTCTTGGCTTGGATGGCGGTAGCCATTGGCATCCGGCCTGGTGGCTCACCTGCTCTCGACCTGCCGTCTCCGTCACTTGTCCCCGCCCACCTCTCCAAGATGTTGACCTCTCATATGCGTACACATACAGTCATTAGCGATTGTGGCTTCACCCCCGCAAGCATTCCAAAAGTCCAGTTAGAATAACATTGAAGATTGACCAATCATATTGGTTATCCTGTAGCTGACTTGTTACGCTAAGATATTTTTGGAAGGTGGGCGGTTCAGAACCACTGCGCAGCTGTCCTCGGTAGAGTTTCCAGCCAATCGCAGTGAGCCGCCATCCGCATCAATAGCAGTCAGCAACAGCATGAGCATGGGCATGAGCGTCAGAAGTATCAGCATCGGTTACTCAATAGGAAGAGACGATGATCGGCATGCCAGTCACGTGAAGCGCAATTTCCATGAGCAAAAATCCACTAGATAACGTGTAAACGGCGACATTTATACTATAGGTGTGGTGAGTTTGACCCTGATCAAGCTGCAAGCACAGTACGCCAAGTCGACCCCACCTCTGATTGGAATCAATGCCGTTCGGAACGCATGGACAGTGACGTTGAGATCCGTGCCACAGGTAGGTATTCTAGTTATAGCATCTACAACGATCAAGCATCAGAGGAATTACATGCATCCTCTACAATCGCTGACCAAAGTCAAGGAGAGATCTTCGTTAGGATAAGACATTAGTAGCCTTGTCGATCGTCCCGTCGGTGTATGAAGAAATTGCATCCTTGTCCCAAAAGCCATGATGGAAAATGACCATCCCGATGATGTCTTGTAGCTTGTCATTCCTTGCATCATCGTAAATTTCTGCACTTTCATTGGAGCTGCCTATGGCTTATCGCATAATGTGGCGTCGAGTATAGGGTTGCGATGTTGTACGAGCTTCGTGGCGGGTGCTGAATGGCCACTGCTGCTGGGGGTTAGCGTCGTGCCGAGCATGTGTTCAGAATTGTTGCCTGAAGATGATGGTGCCACTACCATGACTATTGAGGACATACTCGCCGGCATCAACCAGTCTCCACATTTTCATTTTGTCTCGCATAGTATTGCATTATCTACTACTTCCACGAAATGCCAAAGAAGAAGCGATCTAGCTTTCTCTGCAAGCCTGCAATTACTGCATCATGTGAAATCGAGACATCCATGTTCCTCGATCAGCCCACCGAGAACAACGTCCATGCAGGAGAAGAGGTTGTTGTAGTAGACAATCCCCCAGCCACACCCAGCACGAGCGTGGGCAGTGAAGCAGCAAAAGACACAAGAACAGAGCCGGAAATGGACGAGTCTATGATATCGTAGGTTGAGGCCTAACTCTCCTCAGAATCTGAAACTCTTGTCTAATAATCGGTAGCCCTTACGCTTGTGCCCCCGTTGTCATTGATTGCGGCCCAGGGCTTGCCACCTATTGCGTACCAAAACACCTTCTACGTTCGCCGAAGTGGTCAACTACTGATGCTGGAGGAACACTTCACCTCCAGGGAGTGAGTGCAGCTACAGGGCACACGCTTGTTCACTACCTTTACACCGGCACATATCAAACACTCGAAACAAAAAGCGATGACGCAGCCTCAATGACGCATATCAAGTTCAAACAAGCCCTCTTGGTATTTGCTATTGCTACCATGTACGAACTACCGGACCTTGAAGGCCTCGCAAAAGAGCAGATCAGAACACATGGTAGTCTCATGGCACTCGATGAAGTTCTAGACACTACGAAGAAGTGCACATGGTTTCCAAAGATGGCTTGGTCCTGGTTTCATGAGTACTTGCAGGATCGAGTCAAAGAACAATTCGACCTCGACTACGCGTACTTTACACGCAAAGTCTATATCAACAGTGTGGGTGATGGTGCGCTGCACAAGTTCATGACTTGTCACCTTCTGGAGACATTTACTGAGAAGCTTACTCATGTACTACAAAAGTGGGAAGGCCATTGCGTGAATGAGGAGAGGGCTGATGCAGTGCTTGACAGAGTCAAGGATACAGCTGGACAAGCACATTGTTTCCCTCGCTGCGACGGCAAGCACCCGACAGCCTCGCGCATAGTGAGTCGTAAGATGTCTTTCGAGTCTCTTAGGGAACTAGATCCTGCACTAGCTCCTGAACCAGAAAATAAAGAGGAATATGACCCATGGTCGTTCTCGTTCAGCAATACTGACAAGAACAAGAAGAAAAAGCAAAAAGGCGTAGTGGGGGAGCATCTGCTAGAGCCTGAGCCAGCAATCGAGTCAGTGCCAGAACCAGTCCTCGAACCGGAACCTGTCAAGGAAGAAGATCCGTGGGGATTTGCGGAAACCACAATCAAGAGATCAAAGAAGAAGAAAGCAAAAGGTGAAACTAGAGATGAGGAACCTCAACTACCTGAACCGGGACCAGAAGCCCTGAGAATACTGACCCCTCTTCCTCCCGAAGCAGAACCGGAACCTGTCGAGGAGCTGGCGGTTGATCCATTGGTGGGACTCAGCAAAATACAAGAGAAAAAAGACGATCCTTGGGGTGTATGGTGTGCTGCGATGACGACTGGGAAAAAAATGAAGAAGAAGAGCGGAAAAAAGGGGCTTAGGATCGACGAACTACCGTCGCCAGCGCCAGAGCCAGAGCTTCTGATCGAGCCTGCACCTTCCCTACCCGTAGAGGAGAACGCAAACGACGGCTGGGGTGACTGGGGCGCGACCGCTGTTTTGGTGAAGAAGAGTAAGCAGAAGAAAGGCGTCGCTGTAATGATTTCAGAACCTCCACCAGAAGAGCCCATTCCAGAGCCCGAACTTGTAATCGATTCTGAGCCAGTAGCTGGACCAGAGGCAGTCGAAGAGAAAGATGATTGGGGCGAATGGGGATCGAGTTCGATATGGGGTGGTGGCAAGAAGAAAAAGAAAAAGAAGGGCAAAACTGCAGAACCTGAAACCCCACTACCACCTCCAGAGCCTTCAGTGACTGAGACAGCGGTACAAGGATCCATGCCAGAGACATTAAGCGTGCTCTGTCCTCACCGCTCCTACCACCTTACAGAGGGCGATGGTTGGAAATCGTGCGAGCTATGTCGCGCGATGATTAGGGAATTCGCGGCTAAATTCGCGGCTTAGCTAGAAAACTAGAACAAGGCAGTTTTGCCTCCGCATTAGTACCTATCACTGCACATATCTTGTTGTTGCGCAAAGGGTCGTGTTCAAATCCTAGTATTAGTTGTACATGGCCGTCTTGCGATTCATTGCAGACCGCGTTAAGCACAATGCATAGTGGCCTCAGTCCATGATGAATAGCAATGTCTATGCAGGATGATGGTTGCGACTTATCTGCTATCGTGGGATGTTTCGTTACGATATGAGGCATCAGTGTGCCGAATTTGATGTAGACATTCATACGATTGCTTACGACTATACTGCTGGTTTCGGCTATATCTCTGCCATGGTTTATTCCGCTTGTCAATAAGCCTCGCGTTTCTGTCCCCATCTTCTGAGGACGAGAATTGTGGCCACTATCATCCCGACCCAGGGCAGTCAAGTACAATTGTTAGATTTGGCACAAGTAGCCCGGTATTTTACCTGCCTTGAGATTGGAGCCTAGTTTGACTCCGGGCATTGCATTGATCCTCGTCGTCTTGATTCCATCACTTGACATCCTTTGCACACACAGGTATGATCTCAGAAGACAAAAGGTTGCTTATCTTTTTAGAAGGAATACTCGTGAAAGTGTTTCCTCGCGAACAAATTTAGATAAAACCCCCGGATTATCCTATTGGTCCCGAAAATCTGTACTTAAGAACTTCTTCTCGGACGTTCGTAGATGTTTATCGAGTCAACCCCATAAACAGCGATATCTAAGCTCCACAAGCTCAGTCCTCACACAGAAAGAGCGATGGAAGTTAGACGTCGATGTGGTCAGGGCTATGATTGAATTTGCAAAGGAAACTGGACGGCTGCAACGCATCGAACAAGGCATGGCAAGGACAGAACAAGAAGAGAAGGACGAGCGAATAGAACGGAGGTAGCTGGCATTGCGAAGAGATATGAGGATTATTCTTCATCACAGAACACAGCATATAGCCCCAAATACTGAATTCAAATGCTTGTTGGGTTCGCGACAGCACCCTGGAGCAGCTTGGGGCCTTGTTGCACTTAGCTGTCCACAGGCCAAGGGCTTGGATACTTGGCGTGGCGTGCGTCTGATTAGAAACCTTGGTATTGTCTTTTCTTGATCTAGAGGCTATCATTACCAGGTACACGTCAGATGTCATGCATTGCATGACTCTACTAGCATTGGGCATGCACCCGAGCGGGCACCTTGTGGCTTTGGTAGCGAGGTAGTCTTGCCCCATGCTATAGGAGGCGAATTCAAGATCGCCATGCAGCTAGGGGCAATCATGCCGAAATCTGAGCCTGAATCCCATGTCCTGAACCTCGAGTCAGGAACCTTGAATGCTAAACCCTGACTTCCAGGCCTCGACCTTGCTATCCGCCTTGGCATGCCCGTCTGTCTCAGGGGCTGGGAACCGCTGGAGTGCCTTAACTCGTGAAAGTAGGGCCTCTTGCAAATGACAGCAGCCAGGCTACTAGCAAGCGTCGCAATCCACTATAATTGGGCGCGCTTGCGTGCTTGGGGTAGGATAGCTCCTAGTTAGTATGGCGTAGCCCACAAACTCTATTGCCTGCCCTCCAATCAGCTTTCAAGCCCAGCCAGAAGCACGGTCGTTGCCTACACCTACCGTCGGAGAAGCGAAACACTAGGTTATTAGTAGGTCTGCATGGAATGCCACCACTGCGGCCTGGGGAAGCGGGTACCGAGACCGGAAAGCGATGCTCCCTAAATGGCTCACTCTTCAGCACCACCAACGTATATATGTGCTATACGGCTACCAATCATGCGTCCTGCACTTGATCCTACGGAGTCTACAAATATCCACTTGTTACCACTCCTCCAGGTGGAAGTGGCCCGTTGATGAACACCTGATCGAAACAAGAAACCCCAAACTGGCTCCTGTCAGTCATGTCGATCGACCCGACCAGTGTTATGGTACGTTTAATCCAACTATGTCGCATATATCGAGCACATACCTGTTTCTGTGTCTAATGCTGTGAAGGTCATTGAGTGGTGTTTGTATGTGACGAGTATCATGCTTGCCGGTTGTCGGTTTGGGGTGCACATTCAAAATAAGACGACGTCAATGTTCGTAGCCGACATGTGGCTTGGCCTCGCCGTCGTGAACTGCACTGCGTTGATTGCTTGCGACACTGCGACATACAGAGCAAATGAAATGAGTAACTTCATCTCACCTTCGGAACATGTTCGCAGAGTGCGTGTTCTCCTGCTTGTAGTTCATTCCTAAAACACACAAAGTGCTAAAGCTACGAGCAGCTCCGACACGCCACAATGTACTTATTTGACGGCGGACTATTCATCCCTAAATTCAGCATGCTGGCATTCTATATACGCATCATTCCGGCGACGTCACCTAAGATGCGCAAAGGGCTATGGGCAGTGGTATGTTTTGTGATAGTTGCAGCTATCACAGCCTATGTCGCCATTACGTTTTGGTGTGGCACTGACATAGCTATCAACTGGTCAGACAAGCCGGATGCTTGCTCTGCTTTCAGCGCAAAGCCACTGGGCCAGCTTACTTGGTCCCTCAACATCATCTCCGAGATTTTCAGTGAGAATACACCCAGACACTTTGCTATCAACACTGATGTTCGATGACAGTATTCTTCTTGCCACTTCCAGTCATCAAGAGCCTGAACTTCAGATATCGGCGCGAGAAGGCGGGTTTGCTATGCATGTTCATGCTTGGTAGCTTGACTATCACGTCTAGTCTTGTACGCTTTGCCGTGCAGGATCTTGTAGTGAATAACCTGCCCATGTGTAAGTAATGCAAGGTTTCATATTATAGAACTCTGAAAGCTAATTTCCTGGGTCGATGAAGACGTTCTTGCCATGGCCGAATATACCATCTCTATCATGATCATCTCGTGCCTCTCGCTCCGTCCCCTTCTCCGCAAGATCCACCGCATCGCCACCGACAGTGGCCAAGGCAGTTCCCGCACGCCACCCTTCTCCCGCTCAACCAAAGGTTTCCATCGTAGTAACGCGGAACAACACTGTGACGTCAATAGTGCCCAAATCTCCTCAAACTGGCGAAAGGGCCGGCCCAAAGGCCCGGTGTATATGGAGGGTGCGATAGCGGAAAACGGGTATGGTAGCGAAGTGGAACTAACGGAATTAGAGACAGAGCGAATATACAAAGCTGGAGAAGTCATTGCAACGAGCGAGAGAGATAATCTTAGCATAAGCGATAATGAGAGGAATAGCGTTAAAGGTAAGAAGCAGCCTAGTCTAGATCCTTCAACGCTATAGTACGAATAATACAGAACTCTACCATTAATCATCTTATTCTTCAAATTCAAACTTGATAGCTTGAGTTGGGTATATATTTAGTATAAAGCTTACTAGGATTTTTTTTTCTAGAAAAGTATAGTTGGTTATAATCTAACTGGATAAATATAGAATATTCATTATTCTATAGATATGAGAAAAAATATAGCCTATACGAAGAATCATATATTACTTCTAGTTCTAGCTTTCTAAGAAATATCCATGTAAAATATCCGCCTAGAAGATAGTGCTTTCTAGCCTAGGGAAGGTCGGCATCACATCTGAATCTGGGATTTGACCAAGATAACCCGCCACAAGCTCCGACATTCCAAACGACATTGCCTTCTGGATCCACGTTTCCATCTCCACTTCACGGAACTCGTATCCCGTTTGGCGCTCGAGATATCTCCTAGCTTCCGCAACTGGAAGCACTACTTCGCCAGTAGGGTGCACAAACTCCACCGGTCCAGGTTGCCTTTGCCCCAAGACGCCTTGGACAAGCTCCTGGGCTACCCGCTCTACAGACACGAAGTCGAACCAACCTGCCCAGCCCTGCATGCGCGGAATCGTACGCATTTTCCGTGAAAGATTCATCACATTGTGGACAATGTCGAGGGCCGGCGCCCCTGGACCAGTGATGCTAGAAGGGCGGTAGATGCGGGCGGGTAGACCGGTCTTCTCAGCTGCAATCTCGAGTAAGACCTCGCTTGCCCACTTGGATGACACGTAGCCGTCAACTGAATCCGGGCGTGTTTCCTTCAGGGTCGTGGCCCTCAGTTCGGGGACACTGCCACTTCCTTGCGTCTCAAGGATGGCGCCCACGCCGGCTGTCGAGACGAAGTGCAGCACGGCCGACGAACGAGAGTCGAGGCACAAGCGCACCAGCTCCCTCGTAGATCCAACATTGGTGTCGCGTAGGGCTTCGTATGGCTTGAGGAAGGACACGTCGGCGCCATTGTGTACGACAGCGGCTGCATCTACAAAGAGAAGGCGCGCCTCATCCTCACCGAGGCCAAGACGTGGTTGGGCGAGGTCTCCGGAATACAATCGCACCTTTGAGAACTTGCGTTGAAGGGCCCTTGCATTCTCTCCGTGAATATCACGGACAGCGAGACAATGGATCTCTTGTACCCGCGGCGTCTCTTGGAGGGCTTTGACGATGACAGTACCGAGGAAGCCGGTAGCACCTGTCACGATGACGCTTAGCGAGCTTCCGAGGCCTGAGCGTTGGAAGGCAATTGGCGTCATTCGGGGTGTCTTCAGCAAGGAAGGGGGAAGAGCGGTCTCAAGGTTCCAGTCGATGCGAGCTTCGGTGCTGATGCTTGGTGTTGCCTTGGGGCTTCCAATCCTCTGCGCCAGGTCCCCTAGAGAGTGTATCTGAAACAGATCTGCAAGTTTGATGTCTATCCCGAACGTTCTTCTCAATTCAGCCTGGAGCCGAAGCAATAGCAGTGAGTTCCCGCCGACGGAGAAGAAGCTCGAATCTCTAGTGATTCGAAGTCCAGTGTGGCCGAGAATACCTGACCACACGTCTTTTACTCGAAGCTCTGTGGCAGTGAGTTCGGTTACACTCTTCAGTCCCTGATCCACGGTATTTGCAATCGGAAGGTCTGCCAAAGCCTTTCGGTCCAGCTTTCCACTCATTGTTAGTGGCAGAGCAGCAACGGGAACCAGCCGTGCAGGCCGCATATATGTCGGTAGAGAAAGACTGGCGAGGACGGAATCGAGGTACATTTCTGCCTGCTCTGGCACGCGATCGGTAGCAAAGACGACGTGTCCGACAAGAAATTGCTGTTCTCCTTCACCCCGCAAGCTAATCGAAGCTTGTGCAATGACACCAGCTGCTGTCGCTAGTATCGAGTTCGAGATCTCTGTAAGCTCAATGCGTATGCCCCGCAATTTGACCTGAGAATCGTCTTCTATGCGTCCCATATACGTCAACTGACCATCTAGATCCATGCGGGCTGTGTCTCCAGTCAAATACCATCTTGCCGTCGGTTTGCCAGCGCTTTTCAGGAATCGTGAGGAAGCTCCGGATACGAACTTTTCATCGGTTAGCGGCTTATTGTTGAGGTAGCCCGTTGCGACTGCCCGTCCGCTGACAGCAATTTGACCAGAGCAGCCTAGAGGAACTGGCTGCACTGCATCATTAACCAGACAGACGTTATATCCCGGGATGGCCCTGCCAATTGGCACTGTCGCGTTAGCGTTGACTGCCACTTCGCTGCAATCAACCTGGCCCATGTTTGATGCGACTGATAGCTCAGTAGGGCCTAGTCATCGTATTAGCAACCCCAATTCGTTTCATACAACAACAATATACTGACCGTATGCGTTCCAGACTTCTAGGCCCTTGACATTCAGGTCCCTGAAGGACGAGCGCAGCTCCGAGGGAAATGCTTCTCCACCACACATAGCGATCCGCCACGACTCACAACGACTAAGCGAGTCTTTTCCATACTGGAAGATGACGGAATACTCTGAAGGGGCCATGAGGGTCAGGCTGACCTTTTCGCGAAGCATGAGTGTGGCGATGTTGCTTGATTCCTGCCGGTTGCTGGTCACAATGAGAGTTCCACCATTTGCCAATGCGTAGAAAATCTGCGCCAGCGAAGCATCGTAACCCAGAGCACTTTGCTGCAAGACTATCTCTCTGCCAAGATTCATGGCCGTGGTTGCTGCCTTGATATGAGCCAAGAAGCTGGCATTTGAGAGCACAACGCCCTTTGGCTTTCCAGTCGAACCGCTGGTGAACATAATCAAAGCTGTTTCCGTTGCAACCGCATTGTCACTTAATTGGATGGATTCTCCCAGTTTTATGTCCGAGATTTTTATCGACTTGGTAGAAGGGTTAGCCGCGATTAGCGTGGGGATGCGTGACTCAGTGGCTTTGTTGTGGATAATAATACAGATCGATCCATCATAGATCATGTTGGCCAGTCTGCTGTCGGAATTGCGCTCATCAAGCGGGACATATATGGCCCCAATCTTAAGTATTGCAAGTAGTGACAGTATCACATCTGCGGAAGGGCCGCTTGCCACACCAACCCGAGACCCTCTAGTGACACCTTGATCAAGCAGAGCTTGGCCGACAGCGTCGACTGTTCGTGCCATTTTGGAATAGGTGTATGATATGTCGCCGTCTTTGATGGCTATTTGCTCGTGATATTGCGACACCATTTGATCGACGCGTGCAGTCAATGTACTCGGCCAATCAAGTGGTGATTCCATGCCAATACCCAGTTGCACCGCTTGCTTGACCAGCGCTTCGGGGTATACAGGGCAGTCCGACACATGTGTTTCTGGTGACTCCGAGAAAATCTCGAGAAGATTGATGAATGTCTTCAGGAACGTATGGGCAGAGGTTTTATCGTAGAGATAGTCCTGCATGGACAGCGTCAAACCGGCACGCCCGTCTTCTTCGTCAATAGTCAAGATGAAATCAAACGGGTGCCGTGCGTCCTCATAAGCCAAGTAGTCGAAGGCGATATCTGGGCCGAGAGTCTTCTGTTTGATCGCCCCCATACGGTAGTTGACGAGTATCTGGAATAGCGGCAGATGGGATGTGGACGTTTCCACGCCAATGTCGTCTAAGATGACATCCAGAGGTACGCCACTGTTCCCGAGGGCTGAGTAAACAGCTGTTCGTGTGCTCTGAAGGCAGGCACTGAATTCTTGATCGACAGTGCCATCGGACTTGAAACGCAACGGAAGTGAGTCAAGTAACAGGCCGATTGTTTCCATGAAGGCCTGGTCCGAGCGGTTGGCGTCTGTGATGCCAATGCAGACATCATCAATCTTCAGCAGCCTACGAGCCATGATCTGAAGAGCCGTAAGGTAGAAATGAAAAGTCGTACTCTTGTTATCAACCGAAACTGTCTTGATGCGGGCCGCAAGAGCCTGGTCCAACTCAATGAAGGTTTCTGTAGCTTCGTATCGGTTGAGCGACTTCCTGTTTGTGACTTTGGCGAACGGAAACAACGGAATAGGTCGTGGCAGGTCGACGAAGCTACTATTCCAGAACTGACGTTTGGTTTGAATGGCTGGGGAGTCTAGGTCTGCTCGCTGCTTGACTGCAAAGTCGAGGTAATCAATGGACTGGTATACACGCTTGGGCATATTGACATAGAAGCGTTCTACTTCTTGTAGAAACAACTGCCAGCTTACTCCGTCCATGATGATATGGTGATAACCGAATATGATCTCATGATAATTCGAACTGTATTCCAGAAGTGTTGCAATGAAGACATCTTCGCGTTCAAGATCATAGATATGCTTAGCAATCATGAGAGTCTCTCGCGCAGAGTCCACGTCTTCACGAGCATTGGAAACCTTCTTCAGTTGAAAAGGGGAAGATTTTGCTACCGCCTGCATTGGATGGCCCGTGTATGGATCGGTGTAGAAGCCAGTACGCAAAGCCTGATGCTTATGAATGACAGTTTTGAGTGCGACCTCGTAGCGGTCGATGTTGAGCGGGCCTCGCAAACGATACGATGTGGTGCAGTTGTAGGTTGTCTTGTCCTGCAGTAGCTGATATGGAAACCACATTCGGGATTGACTAGAAGACATTGGATAGACCTGCTCAAACGGCGTCGTCTCATCTTCGTTGTCCGATGTAAGATCCGTAGAATGTGACAGATTGGTGTTATCAAACAGGTCTGACGGATCCGAGTCTGAATCCCTAGCCAGCCCGGAGCTGCTCTCGGACGGTGTTTCGCTCGCTTCATCTTGTTCAGGTTCTCTTTCGGCGAGAAGGTCGGCACCAACTTCCTCACACACTTCACGAGGATTAGCGCCCTCGTCTCAACTCGACACTGTGGATACTGAAGACTTACAGTTCGCAACCGAAGCGCCGCCCAGCACTTTCAACACTGGCATATCCTTTCCTACCTCTTTCAAAAACCAGGTCCGGATTTCCACGGCGGCGAGCGAGTCAACCCCCAAGTCGATGATGGCAACGGTCGGGTCTAGGCTTCCCAGCGCCAAATGTAGCATAGTTTCCAAATGAGCAGAGAATGCCTTCTGCAAATGATCGACGATACTTGCCTTGTCCTGGCTTGCATTCAAAAGTCCCTTGATCGTTTCAGACGAGCCAGCTATATTCTTGCCTGCAGATTCCTTGTTGTTCAATGCTCTGTGATGCGAAAATCGTGCATCCCTGTGCCATGGAAGTGGGTTTTGTGCGTTAGGGCTCCAACGATTCAAGCCCGTGGATATTTGCACGAGGGATCCACATTCTGGCTTACTGGCGGCCACGGCTTCCGTGAACATATCATGGACATCGTGCTCGGAGATGGGCAGATATCCCTGCCTTCGGAGGTTCGCATATATCTCCGCCCCTTCAATACGGTTGACATATCCGATACCATAGAGAACCCCAATGTCAAGAACAGAAGCTGCTAGACCATGACTGCGGCGTTGCGCAGCTAGGCCGGACATGTACTAGAATGGATTAGGACTCAAGGTCTTATGATGCAAGCGAAAATCACTTACCAAGTTAGCAGCAGTATAATTTGATTGACCCGAGTTACCGCCCACGCAGGTCAGAGAGGAAAGCATGATCATGAAGTCGAGCGTTGGCTCATTGAAGACGCAGCTCAGATTTCGAGACCCATCCAGCTTCGGCCTGAGAGCCCTCTGTAAGCTTTCTAGAGTCATGGACCCAAATAGTTCATCCGATAGAACCATGGCACCCTGGACGACACCACTGATCGAAGGAAGAAAACTCTCTACATCCGCTTTGACCTTTTGGACTGCTTCAAGACTTGTAACATCCAAAGAAGCAAGGTGTATTGTGAGGCCCAATTTTCTCAATGGCTCTGCCCATGACTGAGCTTTCTCTGGGGTCCTATTTATCGACTTAGTTCAGGCTGTCACGCCAAGGGAAACTTGATGGAAGTGTGGCTCACCGGCTAGCAACAACAAAGTAACGTGCTCCATGTGCGGCCATGAGTCGGCATAAACTCTCTCCCAATTCGCCTGTCAAGCCAACTAGTAAGTAGGTCTTGGCCCCACTCAGGTAGAAATCCAGCTTGAGCGGTCGTACTTTCAGTGCAACCATAGGCTCTTTCCTCCAATTCACCATTGTAAGATATGGCTGCGGACCTTGGCCAACTAACGCACTAAGGGGTTTTATCATTAGGCTGTCAGTCTCAACCTGTCCTTTGATAGCACTCAACCCTAATTCACGGAAGGATGTGAAGGCTGTGGTTATAATAGTGTTAAGTATACTTCCCTTTTCTATGTGCTGTGGGGTAGCTGCGAATAGTTTGAATGTAGCAAAGCACGTTTTTTCCTGCAAGAGGTTCCCAAGGATGGATTTGGAGCTGCCAGAAATATCGATAACAACTCCAGAAGCAGAAGGCAGAGCCTCTGCTACTGCGCGGTTTGTGGAACGTGGATGTATGAATGTAAGCCGTGGATCATCCTGGGCTCGTTTAGAATAGCTCGTCACGTTAATCACAAGAACCCCATCGCTGGCCGGCTGTAGAAGCGAAATGGCTGATATGAGCAGATTGTCTGGCTCAATGATAATGACTGGTCTGTCACGATGAGAATTGACAATCCGCGAAGCAACAATTGCTCTGAGAAACAGAGCAAGAACCATATCGTCGGGCAACATTGTTGTCGGCTTAAGTTCCTGGGTCCACGATGGCGGTATCATTACATTCGACGAGCACATGTCAGAGAAGAACAACACTCGTCGACCAGAGGCGATAGTACCGATACCGAGGAACAGGTTCGAGTCCTTGCTGACATTGATTGCCCACACGCTGCTGTGCGAGACTGTGACGGCAACCTTGTGTTCTTCTTGATGGCTGATTGAACTCATCACTGTACCAGAGGAAGAGGAAGAGGAGGATGCTTCGTATACGAAAGGCCTGGTTTCCCCATTCAAGGTCAATTCCACGGTCGCATGCACCATGTTCTCTGAGTAGTTGACAGCTCTTCTCCTAGAATTGAGACGCCTGTTCATGTCTGGGATTGGCTTAATTCGGGGGAGCATGACTTTGCCTTGGATAATCGTAATTTCGTCTTCAGTCATCCACAGAGTCGACGAAACCTCATCCTCATGCTCTGTTGGGTATACAAATCGCAAGAACGTTTCTGCAACCAGCTCTCCCATTCCAATGAGGGTGTCGATGTCGAGAAACTGGAGCCGGAAATTTGGGGTCTCGCTTTTGGCCGTTCGTGCAAGGCCAACTGAGGCTGAATGATATGGGTTTGCGCCTCCGTAAAATCCATTTAGAAGCCACAGTAACGACCGTCCAGGGCTCATAAGTGTTTGGAGACCGGAGAGACTAGCTGAGCTAATGTTTTCCAAAATTGATTGGTCGAGATCAGCAAGCAGTACCACCTGGTTGATGCCAGAGAGCAGTTGCGGAGTGACCATATCCAGACTCTCTACGTAGGAAGTCTCGCACCCAAGCGATGAGAGTACAGACTCAATACAGCTCCGTATCTGGTTTGTCTCCGCTCTCCTTCCACCAATGATCAAGACTGGGCCTGAAATTCTGATCCTGTCCAAGTTGGAGAGTGGCGAACGTAGAATGTCGACAATGTGATTGCGTGCTTGCTCGATCAGTAAAGAGAAACCTGATCCCTTGGACTGGAAAAGTCCAACTGATGCTGTGCCCATCGATTCCGATCCATCCAGAATACTGGAAGAGGTAGAAGGGGTGAGAGTTCCCCTGCCCTTTTCGCCTCGCAAAAGTCCCGTGAGTCGATCCTGGAGGAGATGGCCCCCAGACTCGACCGAAACGATGAAGCCACCTGGACGCAACAGGTTCTGCAGAGCGTGTAGCCGAACATCATGTGTCGCAATTCTTTCACTGTGTCCACATATTACGACAATGTCAAATGGCGCGTTCATTTCGTCAAGCCCCCCTAGAATATTATCCTCGTCGAGTTGGATTGAAGAGTACGTGGCAGACTGCGATTGCTCCGGGGATGAGGGTACAGAAAGTCCCGGAACATACGCGCTGATGAATGACGAATGAGCCGGTGCGAGTCCTTCGCGTATAGCATCTGTGAATGAGAACATGTTGCTTAGGTTGATCTCAAGCACAGAAATATGAGGATGACGATGACTGATATCCCCTATGACTTGTGACAATCTCTCAGTCAGAAGAAATACTTCGTCACTCTCTCGTTTCATCTCATGAATGAGCCCAGGTAGTATCGCTGGCATGACTCTGCTGCATGATTTCAAAAGTTCCATATGATGTCGGTATGGTGAACCACGAAGAGCCAAATCGAGCGCATTCTCGATATTATTCGATGCCGTGAACGAGTTAGTGTTTGGTGTGACCAGTGACGATATGTGGTTGGAAAGCTCTTCGAGATCTACGTTAATCTTCGGCAGTATAGGACTCTCGAGTTCATCGAAACCTGTCCATGGATCTCGCTTGTACACCGTTTGCAGATAAAATTCTCGGTCCTCGTCGTCGGAGTTTGTGGCAAGCCCTTGAACAGCAAGGCCTTCTATTTGTATTTCCATTTCTCCAACTTCGTTGGAAATGTCCAGGTCTCCGGAGAAGCTCGCTGGACTGGTAGATGAGCCGGGATAAAAAGATGTCACCCGAGCCTCAACGTCCAATGTACTCCGGGCCTCTGGAATTACATCGCAGATTGCGGCATTGAAACGTATTCTTCGAATGCTTTGGGGGAGGAATGAAGTCCAGAGTGCACTGTGAGTGATGTATTTAGCATTCACACTCAACAAAGGAATCTAATGACGTACCCATCATTCGGTGCTGCAAAGGCTGCAAAGGCTACTTGAAAACATGAGTCAAGTAATGCTGGCCGGACTGGAAGAGTTGAAGTGTCGTCAGTATGAGGTTTTTCGAGCTTCCCTGCAGCAAAATAGTGGCTTCGCTCCAGGGAAGTGAGGGATTTGAACGCCATAGTGTAGCCAAGCCCAATCTCATTCATCTGGCTATAGAAGTCCTCGACATTGACATGTCTCAACACCGGCTGGCGGGGTGAAGGAGACGGGAGAGGGTTTTCTTTCATAGCGTATAATGAGACAAAGCCGCTGACTGCTCGTTTAATTCGACGATTACCTGAGACTGGCCCCCAATCTAAGGAAAAGCTCGCAGTTATTTGATCATCAGTGGATTTTTCTTGATCATAAGTCAAGGAGAATAGTGTCTCGATGCCTTGGGTATCATCTTCCATTGTGATACCGTTGCTAAGGAGGAGATGGTTGATTTCCACCATTGTTGCTGACATTGCTCTCTCATTCGCCATCACTCTACCTGCGTCCAAGGCCATAACACAGTAGGCTGCAACAGGAATGATGATTTGGCCTTGGAAACGATGATTCTTGATCCATGGAATTGTGGAAGGCCTCAGGACATTGCGCCAGCGATACTCTGATGGCGTGTCATCCAGCGTTCGGATACCGAGAAGTTCATGAGGAGCATTTGATCGGTGCAGGTACTGTTTCATCAATCGAGGCTGACGTAGAAGACTTTGCGAGTGATCCCAAGGATAGGCTGGTACGTCTCTGGCCAACGGATAACTGTTTGCAGGTAATCCCAAAGCAGCAGAGTAGCTCCGAAAGTCCACAGAAGCTGCTCCGATATGGCACCACAGCATCCCCAGTGCATCTGAAAAGGCCAGAACATCGTTGCTGTATCTGCTCAACACTCCAGAGTATGGCAATGTGTATCCGAGTGACTCCTGTATCACTTGATTTGCTGGGCCTCTTAAAGCTGCGTGCGGCCCGACTTCGAGCACAGCATCAAAGGGTCCATGTTCAACCAATATGCGAGCTAGTGCTTCAGCAAACAGCACCGGCTGAACCATATTGTCTCGCCAGTATCGACCTCTCAGTTCCTTGATAGTCGGCTTCCCTGATGGACCATACACACTGCTCATCCAAGGGCAAGATGCGACGGCCTCTTCTGTTTCGATGCCACAGGCTTCTAAAGAGTCGAGATAAGGAGTGGCACACCGGTCCATGTGATGAGAATGATATGCCGTATCCACTATGAGCTGTCGGCAGAACCGCTTTTCCTTGTCAAGCTGAGCTTTACCATTCTTGATCGATTCAAGGTCGCCACTCAATGTCACGCTGGCCGGCGCGTTGCTTGCTGCCACATAAAGGCGTGACTTGAGTGAATCTTGGCCACAGAAGTCGAGTGCATCGTCAACTCCCATTCCAACAGCCATCATGCCACCCTTGGAGCCATCAGCGCCACCGGCAAGCTTCGCATGAAAACCGCGATAATAGGCGATGAGCATCGCGTCTTTCGCTTTCAATACACCAGACGCGTACGCAGCGCCTATCTCCCCTGAGGAGTGACCTACAACGCCACTGAGACGGACTCCCGAGTGTGATAGAAGATCGCATAATGCTATCTGAATAGCGGTACTATAATGTCATCAGTTTATTGCAACTTTCTATCCAATCAGGGGAGCGTTACCATAACGGCTGCGACAACGAAGCTTCAGACAATCGTGAGGACTCTTCTGGTCGCAACAACTCGGTGATAAGGTCCCATGAAGGCGGATCTGGACAACTCTGCAGAATCTTGTTGCACAATCGCAAAGAGTTCGCGAATAGATCGGAGGTTTCAACCAGCGTCTTGCCCATAGCCGACCACTGGGCTCCTTGTCCAGTGAATATGGCCAACACACGACCAGCACCATCTCCCTTGGAGCGCACACCAATATCTTCGGTTTTCGATGCTTCCAACTTCTTTTTCAGGGCCTTTTCAAGTTCCACCTTCCCTGAAACTGGAAACGAGACCTTGCAAGGGAAAATAGACCGTCGAAACGCTTGGGTACCGACTAAAGCATTGACGTCCACATCTGGCGTTGCTTGCAAGTAAGCCAGATAATCTTTGACAACGCTACACAACGATTTGTCAGAATTGGCAGACAACAGAAGTGGTATATTGGGGAGAATTGCTGGCGCAGATGTTGAGTTTTGATTCTGTCGACCATGTATGCTGGACTCATATCTTTCGAGGATAGCATGCGCGTTGGTTCCGCCAAATCCAAAGGAATTAACACTGGCTCTAGCTGGATGTCCAGAGGCTGGAGTAGGCCATACGACTGGCTCCGTAGGAACCTTCAGCTTCTTCAAAAAGGGCTTGACAGTGGGGTTGGGATTGTGAAAATATAGGTTTGGAGGAATGACCTTCTGTTGTAACCCCATCATGGCTTTAAGAACACCTGCCACCCCGGCGGCGCCCTCTGTATGACCAATAGCTGTTTTTATTGATCCCACAATGAGTTCTCGGGCTCCTGAGTGTGGCGAGGGGGTTGAAGCGGCTGGAAAGAATGCCGTGTGAATTGCCTCAGCCTCACGGGGATCACCGGCTTGGGTGCCCGTACCGTGGGCTTCGAAATACTGGCACATCTGCTCCGGATGTGATGCATCCAGTCCTGCGCGAGCATATGTATCTCTGATGAGGTTCGCCTGAGCCACTGGGTTCGGCATTGTGATCCCGCGGGTCCGCCCATCAGAGTTGACTCCGGTCTCTCGTATAATGCATTCAATGTTGTCTCCATCTGCGAGAGCCTTTGAAAGGGTCTTTAGAAAGAACACGCCGGCACCTTCCCCGCGGGCATAGCCATTAGCGCTTTCATCCCACATCTTTGAATGGCCATCAGGTGACAGCATGTGCAAATTTGACTCAATGGTGAAGGCGTCAGGGCTAAGCATGACATTGACACCAGCTACACATGCCATGTTGCTCTCTCCCGATCGCAGACTAAGGACGGCTTGATGCATTGCCACAAGACTAGATGAGCACGCCGTATCAATCGTCATGGATGGGCCGGTCCAATTAAAGAAGTAGGATACGCGATTTGATAGAATGGCTCTCGATGTTCCGGTTACACAGTATTGACTGGTTGATATCTCATCCTTGGCCGTGAGCAGCTCGTAGTCGGCAGTCATCAAGCCGACAAACACACCAATCTTTGTTCCGGAGCACTTCTGAACGGTTAAACCCGCCGACTCCATGCCCTCGTAGACGACTTCCAGCAGTATCTTGCCAGCTGGGTCAATGGTCTCGGCCTCTCTTGGCGAATAGTTGAAGAAGGAAGTGTCGAAAGTGAACGCATCTTCTTCCAGCCAATACGCCTTTGGGGCATCGGTCGTACCGTGGTATTCGCCATTCGGGTTATAGAACCCATCGATGTTGAAGCGTTCTTTTGGTGCGTTTTTGGAGATATCGTGAGGATTCTGCAAGAATTTCCAGAGCTTAGAAGGCGAAGTTGCTGGGCCTGGATATCTGCAGCTACGGCCAATGATGGCGATCGGTTCAGACTTGTACGTATTGTTGGTCATTGTCCCAGTTGATCGATGTGTGCTGGCGAATTATGACAGAAAGGCTAGGATGGACGAGCTATGAAGATGGGTTTAGAGTTTCCGAGGTGTGCCGGCATGTATTGGTCAAATCCTTGAGGAGAACATCATGTTGCAATCCAAGGGACATGCACTGTATCAATACTATATCAGTCAATAACGATGGCTGCTTAGATGACAGGAGTTCTATCGCTTATCTTATTGACGAGCCAGCACGCACCAATCCAGAGAACTCGCCCCCAAACCGAACGCATGCCGTTTCGGGCACACGCAGCACTCAGAATGGCGTTTGCGATACTACAGAATGGCGCCATGTTCATCAGCTAGTGTGGCGGGCAGTAAGCCGACCGTGGGGATGGCTGGGTGTGCGCTGGTGCAGGGCGTCCGAGAGATATTCGGCGCAAAGGCACCTACTACCTAATGTTTCGAACGCATTTGGCGCTTTCGGCGTTGGTTCGCCGATGGCTACCTGCCTAGACTCCCTATACGCACATCGGCGATCCATGCTGCCGAAAAAGATATGCGCGAGAGTCTGAATTGGGAGAAGAAGGTTGCCGATTCCTAGAGGTGTCTTGCTGCATGCCTTGTGCACAGTCGCGCCGATGGGATTGATGCAACTTCACGTTATGGTTCAAGCACCTAGGCACCCGATGCTGACGCATATTTTGACCAACGAGATCAATGCATCTCTGCTATGGCGCAGATGTCCGAGAGGTATGAATCCGACACAAATGAGAGAGAATCTTGCTCATCAACCTTTCATCTTCGCCCAAGCTTCGATCTGCGCAAGTCTTATCCCTTCACACTGCCCCAACCATGCCATTACTCCACTCTCTAATGAAATTCGGGGGTTCTCAGAAATGGCGTGCAACCGAAACATGGATTGCACTTTCCATGTGCTTCACTATTCTCGTTGCCTTCCGTGTCGTTAGAGCTAGGAAAGCAGCAAGGTTTGCGGTTCTGCATGGATGCAAACCGATTAAAGGTCAATTTCCACACATACCTTTGGCGTTCGGCCTCGATTTCATCGTCCAGAACATACGCGCTTTCCATCGCAACGGATTCTTGGATCTATTGAGAAGTCGCCACGCAGCCTATGGAAATACCTTTTCGGCGCGAGCCCTGGCCCGTCGAGGCGTCTTCACAATCGACCCAGAAAACGTGAAGACCGTACTCGCTGGCCGCTTTCAAGATTATTGCCTGGGAGACCGGCCACCCATCATGGGCCAACTCCTGGGGAAAGGCATCTTTGTCTCAGATGGAGAGGATTGGTCGCATTCGCGAGCTCTGCTGCGTCCCAGTTTCGTTAAGGACCAGATCGCCGACCTGAGACTCATCGATGGCCATATTGAAGACCTTTTGAAGCTGGTACACAACAACCAATTGGTCGATCTTCAACATCTCTTCTTGCACTTTACGCTAGATTCAGCAACTGAGTTCCTGTTTGGTCGATCCACCAACCTACTTGGAACAAATACTGCCGCCGACAAAGCATTCAGCGATTCCTTCAATGCTTCCCTGAAAGACATGGCGCTGCAGTTTCGTATGGGGCCAATTCGCAAACTTCGCCGACGCAACCCAGAGGTTGCTGAAGCTCACAGAATCTGCCGTGCTTACGTTGATCAATTTGTAGAATCCGCCATGCAAATGAGGAAGCACGCTACCGAGTCGGACACGAAGCCATCAACTGAGTACGATCGCAATTTCTTCCTCCGAGAGCTCGCCAAATCGACAGACGACAAAGAAAAGATTCGAGACGAAATTCTTAACATTCTTATCGCTGGCCGAGACACGGTCGCCAGTCTCTTGTCAAGCCTTTTCTTCGTGCTAGCGCGGCGTCCTGACATATGGAACAAAGTCAAAAATGAATTGGCCCAGCTCAAGGGAGAACTTCCGACGTACGACCAGTTACGCGACTTGAAGTATATCAGATACTGTATTAATGAAAGTGAGTTGGAGGTTGACATATCATCAAACGAGTCCTGTGTCTAACATTGTATGAATAGCGCTTCGCCTATATCCCCCAGTCCCCTCCAACACACGCGTAGCAGTGCGTGATACAGTGCTACCCCGAGGCGGGGGCCCAAATGGTGAGGATCCAATTCACGTTCCCTCGGGGGGTGTCGTGATATATAGTGTGTTTGCCATGCATCGCCGAAAGGATCTTTTCGGACAAGATGCTGAAGAGTTCCGTCCTGAGCGATGGGATTCGCGCAAGTTTTCCTGGGTAAGGATTGTTTTAATCGATTCAGATATTTGAATGGCGAGAAACTAACCTTGACTACAGGAATACATACCCTTCAACGGCGGCCCAAGAATCTGTCTCGGCCAGCAGTATGCTATCACAGAAGCATCTTTGGTGTTGATTCGATTTGCTCAAGAATTTTCAACAATCTGTGGTGAAGATTCGACCGAGTGGAAGGAAAATCTCACACTAACTTTGACGCCTGCTGGTGGGGTCAAAGTATATTTGGCACGATAGTTGGTGGAAACTAGGCTGTTCTTGTGTGATCTTACAATCCACCATGTTGACGATGCTTTCGCTGGGGGTGCCGTGAAGCCAGCTCCTCTAGAACATAGGCACTACTCTCTTTAGCTCAACGACAGAACCGTTCACCTGATACCCTCTTTCACTCCATGGTGCTCTATATTTGTGAACTGTCATATGGTTTTGCTTGAAAGGGATTGCATCGTGTAGGATATTAGCGTGTGACGATCCTGTATCAGTAGCGACAGGCGCTTCCCCTAGGTCTATTAATTCGCCAAAGCACAGCATTTCTTTTTCCCATGACTTGTTGTATTCAACCAGACATTTGATTGTTCCGTAAGGCAACTTCTACCATAAACAACGTGCGAAATCATTTCACTTGCGTAAACCAATCCATTTCATGGATTATATAATCACTGGACACTTGGCCAGAGATGAATCACGTCAGTTCAGATACGTACGCAACAAATTCTTCTCCATATATTTTATTAACGACGTGCATTTTCATATAACGTGATCCAGGTGTTATGCAAGTTTAGACTTCTTCCCCGATCACTCCAGCCTGCATGAATATTTTTCTCCTACCAAGTCCGAACCCTGATGCCAGATTACATCCTACAATAGAGGTTGCAATATCTCTATAGTGATATAACGAACGCAAACCCATGAGCCGGAAATGTGTTAGAGAGAGCTAGGAGACCTAATCCGACAGCAAGGTCATCAAAGTTTGATGAACGTAGCCGTAGCGCAGAGAAACATGACCCAAGCCGGCACATTGACGCAGAGCATACGCGTATAATTATTTCCCAGCCATCCCCTCAAAGCATCCTCATTCGCTTTACCAATATTGAGCTTGCTCGAAATGCGCGCATTCCACATCATCGAATAGCCGCCGAAGTAAAAGTGCAGGATAGACAGCACCCCGCCAGCGGCGTAGAAGGTCTTGGTCTGAGGGTGAAGGCCCGCGCCCGCGGCGCTGAAGGCATTGATGAAGGCGATGATGAGTGCCAGCGGGTACGACAACATGATGACCCATTTCGTTGGCTTTGCGAACTCGGCAAACCAGTCCACGACGACATGCGCAGAGAGGTGGCCAGGCTTGGCTAAGATTTGCGGCGCGAGGAAGGAACGGAATGCATTCTGCTGATCCCAGGCGCACATGAGGGAGCCGGAAGAGATGGCTAGCGGTGCAAGGCGGAGAAGCGATAGGCCGAGTCTTTCCAGGGTGATTGGGGTGGAAGCGTAGTCGGATATGGTCATCGTTGAGTTCAGTGCGCCGATAATAGGTTGCAGAAAGTCCATGGCGAAGGTGGTACTTGTAGATGATAAATGGAAGTAAAATGTAAGGGCTGGATGAGGAATGTGATCTAGCAGTTGTTTTGAGTTCAACTTCAAGTCTTTCCAGGCCTGGGAGCATTACAAGTAGTATTGTAACAGGTCTCCAATGCCAGGAATGGTATATTTGTCACACCCAACAGAGGAGGTATTGGCCTCCGGGATCACCCCACTCAGCTTAATCTGCACAATGCCGCCGAATGTCCTCGTCGTAGCAACGAGGTTTCCAAAATGCATTCGGAGTTTTGGGTGCACAGTTGCACGGTTCCATTGACCAGGTCGCGCTTTGTTAGGGCAAACAATATTACCAATCTTTCTCGCCCTCTTTCGGTCAGTTCGGGATGTATGCTGTTACGACGGCTTTCGCTGGATGGATATTCGGTGTGGGAAATGGTACTTTAGGACCCTTACTGAGCCAATTCGGAACGCCGGTGCAGTGCACATGTCAGCGCTAATGATGTGGGCATGACCCTAGTTTGGCATCTAACTTACACACGCCGAATTACATAATACGTCAGCTTCACATACACTAATCAGCATGGAGCGCCGAAAGCTTCAAATTCGAGGATGTACGAATTATGGAGCTGGATGAATTGAGGATCTGCCATTGGACTCGTTTGGGATGGCTACGGGAAATCCAATTGCGATTCAGCGAAATCAAGGGTTGAAGTTTTCTTTGTACTTCCAGTCTGTTGTCATCTTCACATGAAACCTAGCCGAGACGTACTTCATGAATCTAATTTGGTTACCAAAGCCACATGACTAGACATTCCTTAGGTGAAGGGTCACTTTGTAGATGAAAACTCCACTACACCATCTGATGGCGCCTTGATAGCTACATTAGGTTCCAATAGCTAGACCCGCGTTGGAAAATGAATAAAAATTGACAATTTACATCATGACAACCACCTTCTTTCCTCTAATCTTCCCTCTCCGCAGAAGGTCCAGTTTCCAAAGCACAACACCCAACCCTCCCGGAGACACATCCAGCGGATGCGGTTCCAGCTCACCGCTTTGCAGTACTTTTCCCATTTCCTCGGCCCATAGCTCTCCCATGACCTTATCTTCTGGAAGCTCTGGCCTGTAATAAGCGCCGGCAAGTTTGACTTCTTTTCCGAAAATCGTCCATCCATAGACCCAGTCGTGCGTGATGTCCCTCCGTCTAATCGTTAAGCGACGCGGGTAGCGTTCCAGCGCCGCGTAACGACCGCCACAGTCTCCAATGGAACTGTAACATAACGTCATAGTCTCTGGACTGCCAATGCAATCGACGACGAGGCGTAAGCTGTCGTTCGTATATTCGCGTATCTCGTCGCACGCTGTGGGCGAGTTGTAGTCGAACGTTGCCTCAGCGCCTCGACTCTTCGCTAGCTCAAAGCTAGACGGCGAACAAGTCGATATGGGCCTGTATCCCGCTCTCCGAAGAAGCTGTATGGTAAGAGTCCCAGTTGCTGTACCGCCTCCGTGAACAAGGACAAACTCTTTGGTTTTTCCGTTTTCGGTTGTGGTTGGCAGTTTCATGTCGAGTCCCAAGCTTCTGAAAATGAATCCAACCGTGAAAAGACCCATCGGCAAAGAAGCGGCGGTGGCAAAGCTCACGTCTTCGGGTAGGCGAACGCATAATCGTGCGGTGGCTGCGACGTACTGGGCAAATGCACCGTTATGAGGGTTGCCCGGATTCGCACCAAAAGCAAAGCCACAGACACGGTCGCCGACTTGGAGATAAGACTGCGCCTCTTCGCTGGAACCAACTCGAACGACAACACCTGCCAGGTCCGCTCCTGATATCGCACCTGCAGTCGTGGATTGGTCCAACAGCTTGTGGTCCGAAGGGTTGAGAGCCACAGCAACTGTGCGGACCAGGACTTCGTCGGGAGCGATTCGAGGCACGGGAACTGGCTTCAGCGCAAGGACGCCTGGTCCAGTCGAGACCAGAGCTCTCTGAATGAGTGGAACTTTGGGCGTGTGAGAGGGCATATTCACGGCCTTAGTCTGCGGTTTGCCCAATATCGAGCGATAATCGTAAGAGAGAGTGATAGGGTAGTCGGGCTGGGTGGAGTATGAGTGCAGCTGTGGATTATCATTAGGCCGACTGTGCTGGTCACATTTGCCTCTTCATGCATGTCTCATTTGTTTCCATGTAGCTCCGACTAACGTACTACCGACCGATGTTGGTTCGGTCCTCGGCCACGGTGATCCTGAATCGGTTAGGCGCTTACTCCAAGGTCTGATAAAAGCAAAGCCGAGTATTATATAACACATTTTAATAGTGCCGTAAAGTCATCCCCATTACTGCTCGTTGTCGTTACAATGTTCCGCATATTCAAATCTGAATTCTTCAATTTCGAGGCACTGCGCCTCTTGAGTTTCACTGCCCACGAGGGCGGAGAGATTGCGGAATTCTTCGAGGCTGTGGCAAAGATCAAAGACAATGATACAGAGAGCTGGTACGCCGCTTGGACGGAAGCAGGAAGGAAGGCTGAGACCCTTGCTGCCGACTCAGAGCTCTCAGGCCAGCGGGACATTGCCAGGCGGGCTTTCTTCAGAGCCTCAAATTACCAACGCGCCGCTCAATTCATGCTGAATGGCCATGACAAACAGGACACACGCATTCTAAAAGACTCAGAGAGATCGATCTCGAACTTTTGGCGCGCAGCAAACCTCCTTGATTCGTCCATCAGAAAACTCGAAATCCCTTACCAAGGAAAGATCAGACTGCCCGCCTACCTGCACCTTCCTCATCCCTCCAAAAGGCTTCCTGGCAAGATTCCACTCCTAGTCAATACAGTTGGCGCCGATGCGACACAGGAAGAGATTTTCTTTATTTTTCCCATGGCGGCACTCGAATTGGGCTACGCAGTTCTTACATTCGAAGGGCCTGGCCAAGGGATTGTTCTCCGAAAGCATAACATTCCCTTCCGTCCCGACTGGGAGGAAGTCGTTTCCAAGGTGCTTGAATTTGCGTTTGAATACATCGCAAAGCATCCTGATTTGGATCTAGACACAACCCGCGTCGCACTGGCTGGCTCCTCCATGGGTGGATATCTTGCACTGAGGGGGGCAGCGGATGAACGGGTAAAGGCATGCATCGCCGTCGATCCATTCTACTCGATGTGGGACCTGCTCAAAGGGCGCATGCCGCAGCCAGTCATTGATACTTTTGTGGCTGGTGGTTTTGCCCCGGATTCGCTTTGGGACAGTTTCCTCGGTCTACTGAAATGGTGGGACGTACAAACGCGATGGGAATCGGACTTGTCTTTCTGGATGCACGGCGTCAATACGACCGCCGATATGTTTCGGAGCATGATGCGATTTACTTTCGCGACACCCGACGGCACGGGTTTTCTACACAAAGTCAAGTGTCCGGTTTTTGTTACAGGCGCACGTTTCTCTCTGTACACGCAACCCGAGATCAGCACCGATCGCATCTATGAGGAGCTTATAAACGTTCCGAAGGAAAAGAAAGTCAAATGGATTGGCGAGGAGGCTGGCGCGGGTGGTTTGCAGTCGAAAGTGGGCGCTTTTGGCATTTTGACAAGGAAAGCGTTTACATTCCTCGATGCCCAGTTCGGCATCGACCGCAAAATCGCCCATTCAGGTTAATTAGGCGAGATAAAATCAGAGAGTTGATTTGGGATCTCTGCTCTAGTGCGATTGTAGAATATCGAGATCGCCAGCCAGCATGCAAAGTAAGCACAACGCATGTATGTGAGCCAGCCTTAGCGCCAAGGGCCAGTCCCGGAAAGCGCAGTTAAGCACAAGTGCACTTAGCTTTTTTCTCCAAAGAAATATAATCGTTTATTCAATAGTATATGGAAAGCTACATGCTCAGAGCCCCTCAATCCCGTAAAGGGTTCGACCTACGTCTGAGCTAAAGTCCCGTGATCGTACTAGGGCCATACAACAACTACGCTCATGGGGGCGGGCAAGCTAAAATGTCTGCTTAACTCCGTAAGTCGCTTTTCCATGTTGCACATCCCTTGCGTTACGCAGGCTTCGGCATTCGGGTTCAAATATTCGGAGGCGGCTAATATGTCATGTTGGAGAGCACGAGCGGCAGATTAACTGGATAAATCCATCGCCGAACCTGTTTTCGCATCAGTGGTTGGTTCCCAAGTTGCTGGGTACGACCTTGACCGAAATCAACTTCGGCGATCTCATATGGTCCAGCTCGAGGGAGTGGAGTTAACGGATTTATACTGCCAATGTGCCTTTGCGTTTTTGTCTCCATTGATTGGTGTTTTGCAAGAAACGACCCTGGACTCTTTCATTCACTCTGCCCCTACCCAAAGTCTCGGCGGTAGCTACCGAGGCTATGCGTCTGCTAACGATGCGCTTCCTAAAGGTTATATTGCTTGATCCGTAACTAGCATTTGCTCACATAAACCTGACTTCAGACCGCAATTCTTACTGCATTACTTGCATTGCCAGCATTCGCCATGTCGTCGTCCGCACCAGGCCGTCTGCTACGCCTTACTCTCCAAATCTATCGCAACCGGAACAGCACCACTGAGGATAGGGAGAAGTTCGCTCGTGAATACCTTGCCAAGGTTGCAGCACTTCATGCCAAAAATGGCCTCGAGATGTACCAGCAGGTATTCGGGCGACTGTTAAAGTGAATAGTCATGATGTACCTAGCTCATTCTTCCTCAGGTTTACACGCCCGTTGGGTATCGCGCTGCGTTGGACGACATGAACCGTCGCAACAACCGTGGCTGGACCATCGACGTAAGTCGCACGCTTTTCACCCGAGTCGAGCTTAGGTTGACGCACACAGGATCACGACGTGACGGTCGAGTTCTACTTCCGCGACTTCGCCGCGCTCAACAAAGTCAACTCCGATCCCGAGTTTCAGGCGCTGCAAGCCACAGAGGCTCCATACGTGAATCTCGTTCACACTGTGGTTACGCTAGGCTGGGTAGAAAAGTACGTTGATAATCACACTGTCGTCAATATCGATGAGAACGGGAAGTCGACCTATCCGCCTTGGTCTGAAATGAACGATCTGTCAACAGCCTTCTCCACACGACCAGCGGAGGGTGCTAAGTATTCTATTCGCGACAACGAAGGAGAGTCAAAGTGACTGTCCATTCGACCAAGGATGTAGTTTGCTAGCGCAAGCAATCCGAGCATATTTCGATAGCAATCAAAATTGTCTCTATTCACTCTCCATACGCGGTCGTATATGCATCGCAGAAAGCCTCCCACACTCACTGTGGAACTTGAAGAGCGTTGGCGTGATCGTGTAAATTGGTACTGGTGTAGTGGACCATGAGGTATACTCTTGGTAAGCATCTCAACAACGATGAAAATATTGTAGAGACCGTGATTCCACAGTAATGTCGGCCACTGCGGTTCAATTTTCTTAGTCTAACCGGAAGAATGAAAGGATATTCTCATGATAAGGGGAAAAGATGTCTTGGAACAAGGAGTGAGAGATTAAAACAAGAGGTCGTTTAACAGATCACCTCCCAAAATAAATAAAGAAAATCTTAGATCAAGATGATTTGAACGGCAGTGGCAAAAAAAGTTAAAAAAAACCTAACAACGTAGTAAAGGGCCACTAAAATCATATTTCGTATTGATTTATCTCCAACAACTCTGCTGTCTGCTATAGAATCGCGTAAAATTGCTACATGTATCAGACTCCGCCATGCATGCAGCTCATCTTTCAATTGATCGCAAAGCCACCATCATGGGCACCATATCCCACATCACGAATACCTTCTGGTTCTCCCACGTATTCTCAACACTCCTATTCTCGAGATCGAAATGCCAAAGCACCATTGTCAAGATCAGACGCATCTCCGCCCAACCCAGAGATCGACCAAGACAATCTCGAGAGCCGTACGAAAAGGGCAGGAATGCACCTGCATCATGAGGTTTCATCTCCAACCCACCCTCTTCTGGCCGAAGCCATCGCTCTGGGATGAATTCATCCGGCTGTGCGAAATTTTCTGCAGACCTGAATGTGGACCATGGCGGTATTCCAACGGATACCTGTTCTTGATCAGCGAATACACTCTACACGGAGGTGAATCGAGCGTCAATTACATACCCCTTCTGGAAGCCACTTGCCGCACACCAAAGCACCTCCTTTTGGTACAACTCGAGGGCGCATCGAGGGCGCAGGCGGACAGAGTCGCATACCCTCGTTCAGTACCGCTGTAAGGTACGGAAGATCTCCAATGCTCGCGACTGTGATTTCTCCAGAATCCGCGAACTTGCTTCGGATTTCATCTTGAAGTCGGCGCAGCTTGGCCGGATTGCGCAGCAAATATTGGACGGTACCAGTCAAAGCTGTGGCAGTGGTTTCGGCACCAGCACTAACGAGGACATCGAACGTCGCATCGAGCTCTCCGCGTGCCATTGCAAAACCGCTTTTGCTATGCGTTCGAACCATGTACGTCATAAAGTCGGCGCGATTGGTAGATTCACCCATAGCAAGTCGCTGCCCGACCTTCTCGACTGTAAAAGCAAATCGCTGGCGTGTTTGCTCTTGGACACGCTTCGGAATGATGTAAGGGAGCAAAGGTCGTATGGCAGGAACCAGCGAGACTAGTGAAGCTCCGATCATCAATCGCTTGAAGAACGCCGTCATGACCTTGAGCCATGTATGGTACTCCTCCCGCTCCAAGCATCCAAAGCTTTCGCCATACATGAGATCGCCCGCTATGTCGAACGTAGTGAATTGGAAGTAGTTGCCAATGTTGACCGGAGGCCCGTTAGCTCGCTTCAGCAGCTTGCTGATCAAGAGGTCCACGTAGCCACGCACAATTGGTTCTTGCTGCTTGAGTGCGGTGTCAGAAAATGCAGGCGCTAGGAGCCTCCTGATAGAAGCATGATGTTCGTTTCTGGCTGACAAGATGCTCGGAATACCATTTGGTGCTGGCTGGTAGAATCGAGGATCACGGTCGAAATTCTTGTCGGGTCCGCCGTGGAAACCATAAACATCCTTCCACGCGCGAGCATCGGTGTACGAAAGTTCATTTACTCCATAGCGAACAACAGGGCCGTAGTTGTCGTGTAGCTGTCGAAGCTTATGGATGAGGGTACCCTGGCGTAAACCGCGCGAGTACGCTACTCGAGAGAAAAGCCATGACTTCGGGCCGGGGTAGGGAGCCAAAGGATGGAAGTAGAGCACGTAGATGGCCCAAAGCACGTAGTAAAGGAGTAAACATAGACCAGTGCTCAGCGCAATAGCTCTGGGCGAAGATAACATGTCAAGTTGACCAGGCTGCATTTTGATTCGCTGTCTGATGTTGGATTTGGAGAAACTGGGGCTACCCGTGCGGTAATCAGCCGTAGCGAGAAATGACCTCGTTTCTATCACTGATCTTCACCTCATGGCCGCCGGCTCTGTGCGCGTGATGGTGATGCATCGGCGTTGAATTCGGCGTTGGCAGCGATTCGGTGTCGGTGGCGCAGGTTTCGGCCCTTCCTTTGTGCAGTCCTGACGATTTCCGTAACCTCCTGAGATTCGTCGCCTATGGCAAGTTACATGCTGCATGCATTCACCAGTAAGATGTTAACAAACCGGTGTAACGGACTGCCGATTCCCTCAATATCTGGGGTTAGCGGACTTAGCCCATTATTCCCGCCGAGTGAATGCGAGCATTGACAGCCAGCCGAGGCATTTTCTATTCTGGGTATAGTTGTAGCAGTGCGACAGGGTGATGATATTGTGGTAAAGTGCTCTTGCTAGCCGGGTCGTCTTCTAAAAAGTTGAAGCTCTTATTCGGCTATGCTCTCTTCTGCGTTTTCTTAGCCCGCAACAAGCTACCACTACAATCCTGCAACATCACCTTTTACTAAGTCAAAAGACCCTAGCTCCTCATGTCGCAACCAATGGCTGGCGTGGCCAAGGTAGAGGCGCCAAGCGCCACGAACAGCGCTGCCAAACTGGCAGGGAACGGCCCGCCCTTCCCGCCTCAGATCGCCCAGCCGGCTGCAAAGGGGTGGAGGTTCTGGGCGATATTTCCTCCGCTCTCTATCGCCACTTTTCTTGTGGGGCTCGACTCGACAGTCACGTCATCGGCACTCCCGCTGATTACGTCTGACCTTAAATCCGGAGACAACTATGTCTGGATCATCAACGGCTACCTTCTAACTTCGTAAGTGCGATTGCCAGTCATTATAATACGGAGGGTTGAGAAATCGAGCTGACTCGTTACAGGACTGCGTTCCTTCCCCTTTGGGGTCAACTCTCCCAGGTCCTGGGCAGGCGATGGCCCACAATGGCTGCTGTCGCTATCTTCGTTCTTGGATCGGGAATCAGTGGTGGAGCAACGTCCACTGCCATGCTCATCGCGGGGCGTCTTGTCCAAGGTCTTGGCGGCGCGGGCATCACGGCCATGACGCAACTCATCATCAGCGATCTCGTGTCGTTACGCGAAAGGGGCAAATATATTGGGGTCATATACGCTGTTTTTGGACTCGGCACAGCCGTGGGCCCCCCTATTGGAGGTGCAATCGCACAGTACTCCAATTGGAAGTGGGTCTTTTGGATCAACCTACCAGTTGGCGGCGTCACACTTCTGATGCAGTTATTCTTCCTCCAAATTGTCTTCGTCAAGCGCCTCAAATTCAAGGAAAAGGTGCGCCAGATTGACTGGATTGGAAACTCAGTTCTCGTTGCCTCGGTCGTCTCAATCTTGATTGCTCTTTCTTGGGCAAACACTCGTTACGCGTGGAGCGAGTATCAGATCATTGTACCTCTCGTTCTGGGTTTCATCGGAATGGGTTTATTCTTCCTCTACGAGTCGTCCAAGTTCTGCGTCCAACCCACGATTCCTCCGCGCATGTTTTTGAATCGCACCAGTGCACTCGGCCTGGTCTGCACTTTCATACAGTCGATGCTGACCATGTGGCGGGTTTACTTCCTGCCTGTGTACTTCCAGGCCGTGGTACTGGTATCCATATCTAGATCCGGTGTTCTGCTACTTCCTACTATTCTCATAGGTGTGCCGGCCGCGATTGTCTCCGGCCAGGTTCTGGCGAAATATGGCAAATACAAACCGATCCACATTTTCGGCTTCGCTGTCGCCACGCTCGCATCTGGACTCTACATCGATTTTGACGCGAAATCATCATTAGCCAAGATCGTCATCTACCAGATCATCGCAGGCATTGGGGGTGGTTGTCTGCTGACCACAATGCTTCCCTCAGTGCAGGCCGCTAATCCCCCCAAAGACGTGGCAGCAGCTACCTCAACCTGGGCATTCATGCGCGCTCTGGGAAACGTATGGGGCATTGCTATCCCTGCTGCTATCTTCAACAACCAGATGAACGCGAGGGTGGGCTCTATCTCGGACCCAAAGGTCCGCGGCTTCCTCTCTGGCGGGGATGCCTACACCCACGTATCTGCAGCGTTCATCAAGTCCCTTCCTCTCGATCTGCAGAATGAGGTTGTAAATGCGTACCAAGGTGCGCTTAGGGTCATATGGGAGGTTTGTTTGGCGTTCAACGTGTTAGGCTTCTTACTGGTATTCCCCGAAAAGGAAATCAAGCTGCGCACAACAGTCACGTCGGATCACAAGTTGAAGGAGAAGGCAAAGAAGGTGGATATGGAGGCAAAGAGCGGCGGTCTAACAGAGAAGCAAGGGTCTTCGTCTTTTAACTCCTAGGCTAGCTTCACCTCAGCTCCTATGTGATCTTGACCGCCGCCTACCTTAAGGCTTCAACTGTTACTACTACTATGCAATGATGAGGTAACACCCTAACCCTAACCCCATCTCGATAAAATTAATAAATAACCTAAACAGCAGATAGCCGTCCATTGCCACCCCAAAAGTTTGTAAATATTTATCTAGACAGAGCTTTATAGTATTAATATAAATTTCAAGACTTTCAACTAGTATGCGCAAAGGCGGCAATCTTGATGCCATTTTTTAACTACTTTGCAAGAAGGGTATTTATCCGATTTTCCCGGTCGGCCGTAAGCCCAACACCTGTTAATGGACCCCCGCAATTAGGCGCTGGTATTCTGTACGAAATCCCAACATCATTGCTACCATAACACGCAGGGATCTTAGAGTAAGTCTCTAACCCTGCACAATGTGGATGCAGGCACTATCTCGTTCTAAGGTCAGCTTACTCTTAGCTACCTTCCTAATTAGATAAAAATACTCTCTAGCTGTATGCAAGGCCCCGCGCCACATAAACCTGGGGCCAAGTTGGATGTTAGGCGCGCTGGTCGGCCTGGATGAAACGCAATACTCCGCCAATGAGGACTGGTATTTTCTTTGCAGATGCGGACGAGGAAACGTTATCGGACCTACCAACAACAGGGTAAATGACCTTGACATCCAGACTATAGAGGGTCAGCACTGTTATCTTATGTCTTGCCTTTTGTTTTATGACTGGCAAAGCATCGAAATATTTCTAAGACACCTAATTAGTCTACTACACCAGAATACCAAGACGTCTCTGAGATAGTTGGTTAATCGCACGAACACCCTGATATAACATTGATATGTCAGTGTTTTGGTGCGGTGACTGGATATCTTGATGGCCTAGTACTACCAGAGTTGAGCGGGCATACTGGCTGTTAAGAAATCTGGTAGTTACTAGCGTACGCCTACTTAACTGTAGGATACGAATATTACTGCTAATTTTGCTACCAAGCCCGCTAGACAGGGATTCATATCTGTTGGTAGGTGATATCGTTGTTGTTAGTAGGTCCGATAACGTTCCCCATGCGGATGCGGGTTGACTCCAGCTGCTGAGGATGGCTGACCCAGAAGGATTCACACTGCACAGCCATCCCACATGGCGTCACCACGTCGACATCTAGGACCATTACCAGCCTCGCTACTGAAGATCTGGTCACATACCCTGACGCAACTACGCTTGCGGAGAGCCTCCTCAAATCCTAGTTCCTGCCATCGAGTATTCGCACAAAGTGGTATCTGCAACAGCTGGTGAAGCGGCTCTGAAATGGCTGATAGGCTCCGTGGAGATTCCTTCCGCGTCAGTGGCTTAGGATTGTCTCCACCCTACGCCGGGCTGAAGCCGCCCCGCCTTTAACGCCGTTCGCTTACATCGGAAGCCGAACGTGTAGTGTCTTAGGTCAGTGTGGCCAAAGGCCTCCAACACTATGTATAGTGCCATGGTGTGTGGCGGAATTGGACTGTGTTGATGGGTGGAACTGTGGGTAGATACAAGGATCGCTGCTAAAGGATGAGCTGCGCGTTACATGAGCAATGGCCCCAGAGAGTTGCTCGGGTCGAGTTCCGTTACTTGAATACATTATGCATGGGGGCGGTGCGTATCGCCTGCGGGTGGTCGTCAGCTTGCCAAAACGGGATTTCGCCATCCTATTACGTGCTAGAGAACCCAGTCATAAAGTACCAAGAGCCCCTCCTACTACCAAGCACTACGGGGCAAAGCTTTTAGTCTTGGTATTATCTTGGCTGTTGGTAACACGCTTCAACAGCGGTGCTGATTAATTCTCACAACGATCATTGTTGGTGAAATGGGCGGTTTGTCTCTCTGCCCAGGCTAGCTTTCGTCTACTCCTGAAGCAAAAGGATATGGGCTAACACAAGTGGTGGCACACCATAGAACCACACTTAAGACGAGCCTGCGATCGATGCCATGGCCAAAAGCTGTCATGTCAACGAGACGGGAGCGAGACCTGCGCAAGGTGCATCAGGGCAAATAAACCTTGCAAAACAAGTGTTTCATTAAGAAACACCAGGCGTCGAGATTCAGGGGATTCCAAGTTTTCCGGAGGCCAAGTAGGCAGACAACATCCAGCTCGAAGGCGGAACATGTCAAATACTCAAAGACTTCGAGCATCCTCGGAAGATGATCAGGATGTTGGTGAGTGTTTCAGCACAAAACTATCATTTCAAGCAATCCGAACGCTTACACATACGTGCACAGCCAACGATAGTAGAATCGATGCTATCCTCTCTCTAAATGCACCACACGAAGTCCAAATTCAACCCGTGCCTGACACGACGAGTTGGGCCAGCAATGCGGAGATAGCAAATCTCCTGATCTCTTCCAATATGAACTCCGACAGCCTACATGGACCGCAGTTGCAGTCGACATCGCTGTTCAACTTTTGGTCCAGATCGGACACTTCAATCGATCTGGATCTTAACATGGACTCCGTCGATTTCTCGGACTTCGACCTAGCCAGTCCAGAGCGAACAACCACACTCTTCCAGAAGGCCATACTGCCAAATCCATTATGCGATTTAGACGCCGGGGAACAATTTGGCGCTGAAACTACCATTGGCGATGGGCTACCGCCACCAACGACAGCTATACCGTCCCAGCCCAACCTAGAGCTCCTCAATGAAATGACGACGGAGTCAATGGAAAATGGAAAGTGGCTCTCCACACTTGCAGAGCTCAATGTGAAGTTATTCAGCCATGCAAAATTAATGAGAGCGCACGCTTGTACTCCCGACCAAGGAGCACAGTCTTTGTATGCCAGCAGCGCGATGCTCGATGATGCACTGGGGCTATTTCTCCAATTCATTGGGCTTCTGCAACACAGGACTGTGGTTAGTCACACGCCCAGTTTATCAAGTAGCATCGACGGCTCTTCGACAGGCACTACATCTTCCAACGGGTTTGGATCCGACACCGCGTCGTCGTCCATCGCGGCCGATCATGGTTCGGTCCTTATGATGTTGTCTTGCTATATCCGGATCTTGGAGACATGCACCAAGATCTTGACCGCCATAAAGGCGGCGCTATCTACGGGCTTCTCATCGAATGCTCGGCCAGTACCTGTCCTTCGGCTTTCCATTGGTTCCAATGCGTTGGAAAATCAGTATCCGCTTATACGGTTGAGAGTGATTATAGAGCTTATAGAGAGTCTTTTAGACTCTATGCGAGCGTATCTTGCCCCTAATACAGAGGTTAACAGCGGTGGACAAAAGCAGTTCGAAGAATTAGCGAAGGCATCTTGGGATCGCTGTACTTTTCGGCAGCAGTCTCAGCTTACGCAGCAGGCGAATCCCTGTTATCTCCAGGAAGACAAGGCGTTTGAGCTGATTCGAACCATTCGTATAGACTTAAGGCAGCTTCAAGGCGATAGTGTAGCGGCAGCTCTAGGGTTAAGTCGAGATATTCCTTAATGTTATGGGCTGGCGATTACGCCCTATCCTCAACCCTATCCTCAATCCTCGACGGAACTAAGGGTGAAATAACCTTAGTTCTGTTAAGATTTACTGAATCCTCTAACCTTAGTTCCATAGATGTATAGAGTACTCCGCATAGAGGGTTAGCTTCAATTTCCCATATATATTAATTTAGCTTTTTCAACAGCAAATGTGCTTTAAAATTGTCACGGTGCAGGTTCACGGACAGAGAAGGCAGGCACGTGTACAGGTTCTATTGCTACAGCTAATCAACAGGCTCTCACTACAGGTAGTACAGAGTGGAAGACAGGACGTAGCTCGAAGAGCTCTCTAGACTGCAGTGCTGCAGTTTTGTAGAATCCGGGTGCTCGGGCCCGCACCCGGAATCTGCCGGCAGCCAATCAGGAGGATGCGCGCCAGCTGCCTCGCTGGCACTGTGGCCCTAACGGCCACCCGGGGGTAGCGTGGTAAGTTGGGTCTCCACCTCGGGATCGTTTTTCTTATTTTACTCCACTAATACTTACCCAATTGGGAAGTTTAGTAGCCCATTTTGTAGCCCTTAATCTAAGCTTTATTTCCGTCTAATATAGTAATAGAATAACTGTAATAAGTAAGAAGTTATTAGCCTACCTACCTTGCTAAGAGTTAGGTCTCTATATTTTACTCTAATCTTAGATATCTCCTTATATAGTATAGCTAGTGTATTACTATAATATAGTAAAATAAAGACTTAATAGAGAGCTTTAAAATAAGCTACTAAACTTCCTAATTGGGTAAGCATTGGTGGAGATAATAGCGTTTTTGAGATCCCGATGTGGAGACCCAATGACCAGCCTAAGACAGACGAAGCACTGCCCTAACCTCCGCAGCCTAAGCGACGCGCTTAGCGTCGTGCGGTCGAAGGCAAGAACGATAGTAGAGAGCAGGGCACAAACCCTTAACCAAATCAAGTAAGAGCTTAAGCCTACTGTAGAACTAGTATAACAGTCCGTAACAAAGATATAGCAAAATAGCGATATAGCGGACGAGGCGAGGTCAGCAGCTAAGAACGCTAAAGAGGTAGGTAAAGCGACGTTAAAGATTGCGCGAGAGATCAGGAGCAAGAGATTATGAGAGCAGACGAATAGACTAATAAGCTACGCTGCGGTAGTAGCTAGGGGAGTCCCGTTAGTAGGTTCATATAATATACAAAGTGTTAAATAACTATCTACGCAGACGTAACGTAAGATTATTATCAATATTAAGGATCCTTACTATATAGAGCCTAAGGGCTAACTACTAATGGTACCGCCAGTCTATCGGCCAAGCCCACTAACGCCGACATCTGTCTTATGGTGGTGCGAAATAACTGTGAGAGGGGTGCCCGATAACCTTTGCCGAATGCTCTACTACAAAACTAATATCCAATCCTCAAGACTACTTGTTCAGGGGTTTTAAGGAGTGTTGTGAGAACTAGATCGAGCTCTTAGATGATAACGCTGTGGAATAGCTATGATATCGAAGCTACAAAGTTGCACCACCCCCTCAGCTACTTTGTTAGCTCTCTGTTATCATGGCTGTATACAAATGGAATCTGGAGATGCAGCTCGTACTTAGTTAATAAGTAATATAGCTCGACCACCAGTCATGTCTAGCCTATTCACGTCATTTGCAATCATAGCAGCCTCGAATAGATCCACAGAAATTTGTGATTTTTCTTTACAGAAGGAGGTCTGTAAGCCTGTTGTTATCCTAGACCCATGCTATACAACGTGCTCAAGCCAATACTCCCCTCCCTTCCCAATCTACCACACGTGTGCTGCAGCTAACCACGGACCCCACGACCCAAAACTTTGGTCTTCTGCACGAACCTAAACTCTGTTCAGATGATTAGTTAGGAGTAACGATAATATACAGCGTATGGTAAATTTACCGTGGATTGCACCAGTGAATAGCCTTGCATTCCACTGAACCATCTCTGTACAAGATCCTGCCATTGTCCATGAAACAGTCGAAAGTCTTGGGGGTCTTGTTTGGGACTCTCTGTATTCCAGTGCCGATGAATTCATTAGGTTGTACACCACCGCCTAACTGTGTCTCGAAAGATACACCCGAGCCGAACGTGCATTTATGGAACGAGAACTCCCAGTTGATAGGCAAGTTGTTACCTGTAGTAAATTTGCACCTATCATCAGGAGGAGAGCGGTTCTCAGAGTTATGACCGCTCTTGTAGTAGCTGAACTCCGAGGTAGAACCACAGTTGGTTAGGTATACTGTCTCCTTGGTTTGTTGACGTGATTCGAGGGAATGAGCAGTCGCATCGGTTGGAGCAGCGTTCACGATATTGGGAATAGCTGCAAGGAGCGCAACAAACGCGGTGTTCTTGAACTGCATTTTTGAGGGTGAAAGGATGATGGAAAATTGAAGTAACAAATAGTGCTTGCGGATGGCTATAGGGATTGTTGTGAGATGATTTGAGTGATGGAATGCATTTTTACACCTCTGAACCTCTGCCTTTTATGATAAAACTTTGCTTCGTATTGTACGCCGTTGTGTCCCTCTAAACTACTTCTGTAACCAGGCAACCCATACGCTTACTGTAGTCCTTTGCTAAGATCCGCATGATCAAAGGACTTTCACATATATCAAGTGGAAACAGCCCACAAATATTATATGATCAGTCTCTTTGATCTATCTAAAGTCTCACAATTATATTGAAAGAATACTAAAAAGAGTGTTCTAGTCTTGAATTTTGTTCATAAAGTCTGATTTAGGAAAATGGTAGTGTTCTTGTCATGTCGTTGATGGAATTTTCTTTGATAGGACCGCCATATCTACGCATCTAATGCTTAGTAAAAGTTCAGCTGGAAAGCAAACAAGGGTCAGGTTACACTAGTAAATGAACAGTGGTAGGGGTTTGGTAGGGTTGCCAAGAAACGCAAGGGGTAACGTGGATTTACCAAGCTCTGGGTAAAGCCGAAAGTGTGTCCGTCTTACGTGAGGGTTGGATGAGTAATCTGAACACCCCACCCAACCTAAAATATCTCACATTACCAGTTTATGACTTCCTTAATAAGACCTGAATCTCTTTCACAATTCTAAACACAAGATATCTCTTGCCACCATCTGTCACTATACTTAATCTGACCTTAAGGTTGGCCAATTAGCACACACTGTGCTTCGCAGATTTGGTTCTCTTGTAAGCTAGTTCATAACGCTATTACTGTATGTAGTAGTGCAAAAGATCTAGTAGAAGCCACTAGTCGTAGCTGGCGTTCCATTCTAGGCCAATGCCTCGAAAACAATCAGCACAAAGGATAGGCATATAGGTGTTGCATCAGTATAAGCTACTATCAGCCGGAGTTGATCCTTGAAAACACATGCGAAAAGAGTCCAAGAAAGCTTATCCCAAGGTCGCTGTTACTTATTGTAGGGCCAAGCCATACTAATAACGCGTTGCTTTATAGAAAACACTTCCTATAAACTTATCCTAATTTCTTACCATCTATATCCTGTCTCAATAGGGAACCGGGCAGTTTGTATAGCCTCAAGATGAAAGAATCTAGATTGGAAAAGCACTTCACGCCGAAAAGATGGTATCGTCTGCTGGTGCCTGGAATGAACTGTCACTCTTCCGCAAATTCAATCTCAAGCAGCGCGTGATTGAGAACGAAGTATGCATGGCTTAGGTATATTGTCTTAATGCACTGTTGACAGACTTGCCTAACGAGCCAACCGCCTTACTCTACGATCTTGAAAGTCGCTACTTTGTCTTCGTCTTGCGCGATCATCTTCAACAGCCCTGGCGGTTCTCCGAAAATCCACCCTTCCTCCCTCATCTTCTTAATATCTGGCTTCTCTTCTCCTTCCACGGCGCTTCTCGAAGACAACTTGTTCACGTTATGCAAATCAATAAGATCCTGCATCTTACTAACAACCTCTTCGCTTTCATCTGCTCCCTTTTCCCTATCCAACCCCAGATCGTCAGAAAAGCTGAAGCGCGAGATTTTCTTGCCTTTCAAGCCTTCCGGGTCTTCCAAGGAGCCAAATGACCACCATCGAATCGAAAGATCGCCAGGCCAGACATGGTAGGTGTCGCCGACTCGTAGAAAATGTTCAAGCTTTTCTTGGAGCGAGGTTGAGTCGTCGCCGAGACTCGACATAAGCCGTTCAGCAGAGAGCTCCCACACAACTTGTACAGAACCTTTTCCTACCGGAGGAATTGTGATGAAAGTGAATCCAGGGGTATCGGGATCCTCAGGGCGCTTGGCAAGATCTGGGTCGCCTGATATCCGGTGGAACGTAATGCGCTTTGTGGGTCGGAGGTTAAGCACTTTTGCAGAGCCATCTACTTGTCGGGTGGAAGAAAATGCGAGTTCCGGTGAGTGCATATCGCCCTTGCGGAACGCATCCTCACGAGGCGTAGTGTCGAGACATGAGTACTTGGTCAAGATAGTAACGGGTCTATCTGGGAAGACCGAGGAGGTTTGTTGGATGGTGGCGATCAGCTTCAAAGGTGATGCTGAGGGGTTAGAGATTGAGAGAGTGGCTGGTGGACAGAAGTTGAACTTAAGACAGAGCTCAACTCTGTGGTTTTGAGACGACATATGAAACTATTTGATATGGTGTTGTAGCGGGAGACTGAGAATGCACTGCCGTGGGTTGCAAAAATTCAAGACTGCAGAGGGCAAGTTCGAGAAGCTGAGGGGCGGGTGCCGTATTCTCTGACCTTTATCCACGTGCAGTCTAAAGTGCTTTTCCAATGTCATACCCTAACTGTATAAAGGAATATGTCAAAAATTGGGCCCTCAATCACTTGACTCAACCTGTCGGCGATGAATTGGGTCCGAGGCTGGTGCCTAGCATGACGTCACAGGTATCACACCAACCTCACTATTGGATCGTGGAGACTCAACCCCGCCCCCACATCTTTACACCCCTGACTCTGTTCTATTTTTTTACTCTTCGGGGATTCTACGATTTCAGGTTCTCGATCCTGATCACATGCCCATCTTCAGATGCGCAAAAAGCACCGAAGAACGACTTAACCATCGGAAGGTCTCAAGAATTCGTCTGCTTAGGTTCAAACATCCACGAAGCATAGCCTGGAGCCTGAAGAGGACTTCGAACGCCCCATTTGCCTCTCAATCTGGTCTACAAACTGCGAGGGGGCAGGTACACACGTGCAACTGCTATAAGCTGATTGAACTAGGTACAGTGTTCTCAAGGGCTGAGATGCTCCGACGATCCGTCATCCTATTCCTTGCGAAATGGCCTACACCTTCATCCTATATGCCTCTTACGACCAGAATGTCACAAATGTAGTATGCTTTCGTCTTCGTAGGATCGTTTATGAAACATGAGATCGAATCCCATCGTCGATGCGACTTACAATACCTTGATCTTTACTGGAGGCCAGGAAAAACTTACTGTAAGGGATTGACCTCGATTCGACTACCGTCAGCGCCAGTTATACCTTGTAAAGAATTGTTTCATCCTCCGTATAGATCTGGGTAGTGGTTCCGCTGCGCCGAGTGCGCCTTATGATCTTGTCAGCAGCTTACTCGACCCCAAGCATGGTGTTTCAAACATTTGCGTTACCTCTCAAAATACCGATATTGCCCTTTCTTGGCCCCATCTTGTCTTTCATTTACGTCACGTGCTTACATTTGGCGGAAAGCGCAGGCTCCACCACAGCCCTTATTCCTCCTTCGGAATCGCTCACTGGCGATGGAGACACAATCACATCAGGCCACGATGTTGGACAAGTCTCGAAATAGACCAATCCAACGAGAGGGCTTCTGTAAGCGCCTAGCTACACTTCTACTAGAAGAAGATCATTCAGGTACTGTGAACTTGTATAAAAAGGCTATCACGAATACCATAGAGGTCTTTCAATAGCAGGAACTTCCAATTTCTCTTCTTTATCAACACTAGCACGTACTATTCTTTTCAACTACATAGCCTTTCAAACAGGCTACTACATCATGCACTTCACTCAAGTGTCACTTGTCGTGCTCGCTGGAGCAACGATTGCTACTGCTGCACCCCTTGAAGCTCCTAAACATACCCTCTATGGGCGCACAGCGCAATATCACAGCAGTTGCGATAAGCCTGGCCCTGATGGCGGAGAAAACATGAAAGCAAAGGCCCAAAGAGCCTTCACAGACGCATCGCAAATGGCATACCAGACACAGATCCGCCATGACAACAGTGGAAACGCTTTCACAGAGAGCTCTGCGTAAGTAAAATATCAGGAACTACTAGTCAAGAGTCTGGAGTCTGACTTTGTGAATAGGTACAGGCATTATTTCGCTGACGCGGACAAGGACCAAGTCAAGCGAATGATGCAGGTCATCTATAACAGCCGCCTTCCAGTGGATGACAACGACGGCGGTCAGGGCTACTTCATCGACATTCGCTGTGGTAACAGTGAGGACCCTCAAACATGCAGTGGATCCACTCTGGCTGGCACGAGCGCGAGGCCTGGTCAATCAGTTGTAAGTCAGCCCTTATTAGAGGTATCAAATGTCATACAGATGTTAACGTCGCATTCAAGATGGTTCTCTGCGATCGCTTTTTCCGCAACTCCGAGCCACGCACCAAGAACGACTTCCAAACCAAGAAATTTGACGACAGTCGCAACGGCTGGTGCCAGCCCAACGAAGAATTCCCCTTCTTCGAAATCGCTGGTCTGACAATTTTCCACGAAATGACACATCTGCACACCGTTGGCCAGAGGGCTGGACTCGAAGCCTTCCCCGACCCTGATGGCTACAGCACCTCTGGCACGATCGATGTCTACGAGAAGGGTGGCGACGATGACCGTGCGAAGTACAAGGACATGGATCCCTGGAAAGCGGCCCGGAAGCTCAAGCAGCTTTGGGATGAGTACGATGCGGACAACTCAAAGTACAAGCCCTTGTGGAGCCCGATTCACAACGCAGATAGTTATGCTGCCGCGGCATTGGAGTTTTCGTATCTGGAACCTTGTAAATGGGATGTCATCTTGCCCAACTCAGTCTGAAAATCTTGTTTGATCACTTCTATTTTAGGGTAGGGTAGATATGAAGTACAGAGTTATGGCAAGGGTTAGCAAAATTATAAATAAAAAAAATTCTTCTTAATAGATAGCGCATGGCTTTATGATTCTAAAGCTGACATAACGGGAGCAACATGATGCCAGGATGTAGTAAGTTACTGAGATCATAGTTCTTGGAGGTATCTAGACGACACTGGCAAATGAACTCCCCATCAGTGTTGAGACAAAGGCCATAGTGGCGTAATAGGGTATATTGAAGGTGATCACATGCACGCATTTAGTGACGCAACGCTAGCGGCGCAGCGGAGCTTAGAGACGACACGCATCAAACTTCAAGTACAGTTGCCGCTACCAGAACCCTGTAAAAGCAAAAGGAGTAAGGCGTTACACGATGCGAGCCTACGAGTCTAATACCTATTTACCTCATCGGTCGCGGGAGCTACCGAAGCCGCCGATCCCTTGCCATACAATCAGCGTCGGGACAACTATCAGGTGTTTCCCCTAACATTCTTACTGGGCTCCACGCCTTCCCACTGCTTTATTGAGGAAAAGAGGCGCCTCTCGCTGCCATAGCAACAAGAACTTCATACTACTATCAATCAAGTATCTCCTTTCTGCGAACCTTTCGAGTTCCTAGATTCCGCAATCGATCAACCCTCCACAATAGAACAAAAGACATAGGTCATGCTTAGTACGGGATCTCAATCTTTACAGATCGCTCGGCCTCGGCCAGTAGCTTATGCCCGATTGCAGAAAACAACCCAGACATAATGAACCAACTAGCAACCAAGTTAGGTTTATCATCTGAGCTTCAATTCTACGAGGTCTATTCAATAGATGAACCTGAACTTATGACCCATATACCGCGACCCGCTTTGGCTTTGCTTGCTGTCATACCACTTACCCCAGCCTGGGAGCAGGCTCGGAACGCCGAAGACGCCGAAAAGAATTGGTACACCGGCTCCGGTCCAGACGAGCCAGTTATCTGGTTTAAGCAAACTATTGGACATGCATGCGGCTCGATTGGTTTGCTTCATAGTGCCATCAATGGCCCAGCTGCTGATTTCATCGAGCCCAGTTCTGATCTGGCAGATATACGAAGCGTTGCTATACCGCTAGGTATCACCCAACGCGCCAAGATGCTGTATGACTGCGAGCCATTTGAACGCGCTCACAAGTCCGTTGAGCAAGCTGGTGACAGCCATGCTCATCCCGCAATTGAGCGTGACGGTGGTCATTTCGTGAGTTTCGTTAAGTGTAACGGGAAACCCTGGGAGCTTGAAGGATCGAGAAAGGGTCCCCTAGATAGAGGAAGTCTGGCTGATGACGAGGATGTTCTCAGTCCGCGGGCACTTGAACTTGGTATCAAAAGGATCATGAGAATGAATGTGGATAGCGGGGAGGACGATGTTCATTTTAGCTGCATTGCTTTGGCGCGAAGGGTGTAGAGATTAAATAGAAGCTAGTGAACACAAACCACTAATGTGACATGTTTCAATCCGTGTAACATGAGACAAACAATTGGGCAGAAGCCCTCGATGAGATCTTGGTGCATTGCCATGGCATTCGCGTCTAGGCCTTAGCACCCCATGTCTTCCATCTAAATTGCCCTCTGATACTGCATTTGAATCAACAGCAGAGTGTAATTTTTCAAACATTTGCTAAGAAAAGTCCCACATTGTCTGAGCTGTATATAGTCTAGTTTCTTAGCACCCAACCTAGCGAAGCATTGATACAAATAGATATCGTATGGAAGATAGAAGATCTAGGAACTTAATAGGCAGATATATATTACTATGCAGAGAGACTTGGAGCTCTGGGTTGTAGACTGCATTTAACTATAGTAAACGATATAAAGTTCCGGTCGGAGCTGAACACAAAGCCACAGCAACTCTCTATTCCCTATCCAATATCCTTTTCTTCCCCCCACGCCTGGCTTTCAACGTAACCAGCATACATTTCCCAGGATTTCCCAGTATATCTCATGCAAAGTCTCTGGAATCCAATGACATCTTCGCTTGTAACGATGGCACAATCTCAAACATCCACACTAACCTCACAATGGCAACAGGCAGTGAGCGCTCCACAGTCTAATAGCCTGTACAAATGCAACGACGAGCTCTGAAAATGATGTAGTCTCGCTTCTCTAGATTTGAAGCGTTCTTGCTCTCCTTGCTGGCTGTTAGGTCGCGTTCATAGCGTTCAGGCCGGAACCGCTCCGGATCAAGATGGCAGTAGGGATCGTCCTTGATAGCCCAGGCGTTGAGATAAATGTAGGAGTCTTTCAGGATGTGACAGGCGCCAGACAAAAGATCTTTTGTCGTGATGTGAGAGTGGCCCAACCCCACTAGTAGTCGCAAGCACTAAACTTCTTTTAGTAGGTATCGAACGTATGGGATCTTCTCCATGTCGTTGTATACATGTAGATAATCAACAATACCGACTACGGCATTTATGTGATTCTGTGCGGTGTCTTGGACCACAGCAAATCGCATCATTGCTTTAAGAAACGAGCATGTCGACGTTCTGCTAGTGTCTTCTGCATCTGTGATGAACATCAAGGCAAGGTATGCAGCTTCAGAAGTATTCCCAAAATCCATCTTTTCTCTTCTTAGAGAACTATCGCAAGAAAAGAGTTGCTGACTATGTCGTTGTTGCGAGCAGCCTGTACCCGTTGCATGCGTGTTGGGCACCATTTGAGGTTATATTAGAACAGAGCCCGCACTTTTCTCTCCTACAGCTTCAAGAACAGAGAGAAAAGATCCATAATAAGCAGCATGTTGCCAATGTGGAAACACGGTAGCATTCCTAGTATCTATCTCGGTCTATGCTTGAAGGTATAGGCAATGGCAAGAGCATCCGCGTCTGGGAGGTCCATACTAAGCCTCCGACTAGCAAGCGTACTGTAGGCGTTCCTTCCGCTTGAATTGAATAGGCCTGCACTTGAAGCTGCTAAATTTGGATCATTGGTTATCTCATGCACGAAGTTCACAGTTTGAAAGTGTAAATAAAGAATTCCAGCATCAGCGCGTGAAACACTTCTCATGCCCTGGAGTGTTACCTTTCTGTGATGCCTCTATTGGGATAACTTGGAGAGAATGCTAGAACATCTCATTGGAAATCTGCTCATCACTGACCGTCCATCGTGGGCGCCCTTACGCAGCAAGAAAAGCTTTGTCGAAATTTCCTTAACGGTGAAGTTACTGTTCATGAAGTGATGTTCAACTAATGTAGACCAGTTTTAGTAGCGCTAATGACATGAATTATATTACTGAGAAAGGGAAAATCCGAAGGTCAAGTAAGTTATAGAATCTTTTCATTGGCTTGAGCCTATTTCCCAAGCTTGGACACCAGCATGGCAAGTATTGCCATGCTGAGAAGTGTCTGGGACTAACTGAGAAAGAACACTTTAGCAGATGTCCTATACCGGAACTTGAGGACACAGCATTGCCGGCTTTAGTCTGATGTCTCCCTGCTAGTCTTAAGCTATGGATTTTGGCAGATATATATCGGAAATGTTTATATTGGCATGATACCACAAGCATTGTGGTTTTACATGATATAAAGGTGCGAACTAGCAATTTCGCTACTGTTTGGAATTCCCGAGTATTGGAGCCCATTGCGCAGGAGTCGTGGAAGTTCACATTGCTCAGAAATTTCTTTACCTGCATCGAAACCTCCCGCGGTAATGCTGTGCGAGATGTTCGTTGCACTTAGAAACATGATATCTTGTAACAATACAATTTTGCTATTCAGAATCGGCTTCAACGTATTTATAAACAATACTTTCGATGCTTTACGTGTTCTATCAAGAAATCTGATGCAATATCTCCCTACCTCGCGAGTCTAACAGAACTGACACCTATTCACACCCCAAACGCCAGTGCTAAAGCTAACGCATTTACCCGTCGCTACAGAGACTTTGTTTCCGCAACCCGAGTCTCCGCAAATCCAGTACGGTCCACAGCTCTGCGTACAAGACCAGAGGTCGCCGTTAACCCAAAGGGCAGAAAAGCCGCCTGCAGGGCCACTAGTGGGTGTAGTTAGTATAAAAATGTCGAACGTGAGTCGGAAGTAGCGCCATTCTTGTGAGAAGGGCAAGCCGGGTTACTTACCCTGTGATTTGGCCGATGCCAGGGTGAGCTTCGCCAATGTAGTTCTGGCAGTTTCGGTCTGAGTAAAAGTTGATTTGGCCAGCAGTAGCCAAGCTAATGGTGGTAGCTGCGACGAGGATAGTATTTCTGAACTGCATTTTAGAAGATGTCTATCGTTGTGGTTTGTGCTGCTGTTGTTGGATGAAGATTATTGAGCGCGACAGGCCGAACCTTTATATCCTATTCCAGACTGGACGTTGTAAGAACACTTATATCAGCACTAAGCCTGACTTCTGAAGTCAGAAATACCCCCTTCCTAAAGTGGACAGACTTAATGTAGCATAATAATGTTCATGGCTTACTGAGCATACTTACAAAATGTAGTCTCGAGTCAGAATGCATCACGCTAGCTTGATCAGGCATATGATAGTAAGGTAACCTTCCGGATTAAGAGTTAAGAGGTAGCGTAGGACCACTCTGGGGTAAACAGGTATGCGCAAAGATAGAAATAAGCCTAAAAAGACTTTAGCTGACTACTATACATAGAATTGATGGCGTCGGTTCGGGCGCCGTAAAATGCACTGCAGCTCTGCGGACATGGGCATCACAACACACGTATTTTCATAGTTTTAATTAGTAGCGACGCCACAGTTACTTAGAATGAAATGTCTACACAAGCTTGCATTGAAGCAACATGTCTAGATATTAAGTTAATTTTTGCACTAGCCTAGGATTAAGATAGGGTTTGCCATAGGCCCGTGATGTCACGATAACCTGAACAGTAAGAGGCTAGCCCTCGGGGACCTGTCGGATACCTCTCAGGCCAGAGGCGCGACAGCTATAGAGATAGAGTATATAGCCCTACTAGAACCCTAACCAATATGAGGCGCGAATCGGGGTGCGATTCGTGCCATATTAGGCTTAGCGTTAGGGTTTCTATCCGTATCTGGCTATTTTGTNNCCCCCGATTCGCAGATTCCGACCCCCCCGATTCGCGCTCAAATAGGCTTAGCGTTAGGGCTAACTTAACCCCAAGTGCATCCCAGTATGGGCTGTATAGGGCTCCCAAGGTTGTCA